GGGGGGGGGGGGGGGGGGGGGGGGCCGTGCGGGGAGAGAGGCGTGAGGCTGGCCAGCCCCCCCCGCCGCCCCCCCGAGTGCAGCGGCTCCTTCCACGTGGCGCGGACGGAGCGCACCCGGCCCCGGCGCCGCGTCCCGACGTGCAGCGGTCACGGCGGGCGCGGTCACAGCACAGCCGCCCGCGCCGCCCTGCGGGGCGGGGGGGGGGGGGGCGCCCGCGCTGCGCGGCCCCGACTGCGCGCGGCCCGCCTGCGTGACGCACGTCGCTGCCCTCGAGGGGGGGCGCCCCTCGCGCGCTCGCGGGAGAGCCTCTCGGGCCGCTCGCGTGGGCTGGGGGAGGCTCGGAAGCCCCCCCGCCCCGCAGGCTCCAGAGGTCGCCCGCCCCCCCCGCGCCGCCAGCCAGGGACGGCCACCGCCAGCTGCCCCGCCGCCCTTCCCGCTCGCTCCGCGGTCGCCGCCCCGCCCTCGCCCCCGCCCCCGCCCCCCTGCTTGGCCGCTGTTCCCGGGGGCAGGCACTGGCAGTCTGGGGGGGGGGCGGCACAGGAAGGGCGCGGCCTTGTTACCCCCCACCCCCAGAAGGTGCTTGGATGCCCCCAGGTCAGGGAATTAGGGCCTTCCAGTGCCCCGTGCTTCATCCAGCACCAGGCTAGGGGACCCCTCCCGCTCCCTCCCCTGCCATGCCCCCCCTCCTCCCCCCCCGGCCCCTGTCCAGGCCTTCCTCCCACAGCAGCGCGGGGGGGTGGCAGCGTCGCAGCCTGAGCACCAGGTCGAAGGAGCTCCGCGCTCGGACTCCGAAGAATCCTCGGTCCCGCAGAAGGTGCTGCGAGGTCCTGCGACGGCGGGCAAGGGGCTCCGATTAGTTACACGGGGGCGGGGGCGGGGGTGGGGGGGTGTCCGGGGGGAGCCCCTGAAAACCCGCTCTCCTGCATTGTGCCTGAGCAGCGGAGTGTTATCCTCCCGGGCCACCCTTGGCAGTTTTGGAAAGGGGAGAAAGACGCGTTCTAGTTTAATCCCGTAGTTTAATGTTTAAGTAATCACAAATTTATTTATTTATTTAAAACATTCCTATGCCGCCCCCATCGCAACAAAGCCTCGGGGTGGCTCACAAAGGATACATAAATACATAAATAATGACAATATGACAATTTAAAAAAATGTTTAAAAACCCCCAGTGCATTCTCGGCTAAAAATTTTAAAATCCTAATTAATTCAAATAATTTAACAATTAAAATAAGTTTTAAATAAAAAGGGCTTCACCTGGCGCCGAAAAACAAATACCGACGGCGCCAGGCGGACCTCTCTGGGGAGCGCATTCCACAGATGGGGCGCCACCGCAGAGAAGGCCCTGCTCCGGGTGCTCACCCTCCTAATGTCCTTCACGGAGGGCTCCCGGAGGAGGGCCTCTGCCGCTGATCTCAAGGGGTGGGGGGGCATATATGGCAAATCACGTAGTTCAATGTTTTCAGGATTTCCCTATTTATACTGTTTTTGTTTTTCATGGTCCAGAATGCTTGTTCCCTGCCTTGAAAGCAGGACACATGCAAAGAATATGGTAAACAGATAACCCCACGTTGTGCTGACTGTGGAAACACAGGACTGGGCACACGGGCAGAGCAGAGGCAGGGGGCGGGGGGCGGGGGGGCAAGAGCTGAATGGGGCAGAGGGGCACCCGCAGGGCCCCCACCCAAGGACTCAGCTCTGGGGGGGGGGGGGGGCTGCCAGGGCTCTGGGGGAGGATTCAAGCCCTGCCAAGCCGAGGCCCTCCCACCCCGGGGGCTCTTCACTGCCGCAGAGAGAATGCCACTCGTATTCGTATGTGTGTTCAGTCCAGGAGTCTCAGGGTGCCACGCGTCCGGAGCTGTGTGCGAGCCTCCCTCGGCGAGCGCCATGGCCACAGGTGAGTCCCCGCTGCCGCCCGCTGGCTGCCCTCACCGCCGCCTCCACGCTGTGCGACTCTAGGGGGCCGCAGGAGGTTCCCGTTCCGTGGCCCCCTCTCTGCATCACACGCTGAGATTCTTCTGCAACTGCCAGAGCACGGCAGGCCGCCCGGTTCGCCTCGCCCGGGGCTTCTGGCTCAGCCCGGCTGGGAAGGGGAGGAGCTTCCTGGGGCTGGGGGCAAGGCAAGTCCCACCGTGGCTTGAGCTTCGCCCGGGGGTGGTCCAGGCGGCCCGCGAGCTCATAGAGGAGGAGGGCATCTCCGCACGGCGGGTCCGTGGGCTCGGGCTGAAAAAGGAGTCCCGCATGCTCCAGGGGGCGCTCTGAGCCGTCCGGGCCGAGCCCTGCAGGCTCTGAGCGAGCTCGGTGTGCTCCCTCACACACAAGGCCCCGCTGAGTCTGGGCAGCACCAGCCTCCCTGGCGAGGCCCCTTGCCCCCGCAGCCACCCACCCCAGGGATGGCGGGACGCGAGCGGCTCCGTCCCCAGATCCAGATCCTCAGTGGGTGCCCGGAGGCTGCACTGGGGCCCCACCCCCGCTGCGCCACCCTCGCACCCCTGACCCCCCTGTCCCAGCACCCCCTTTCTTTCTGCGGGGGCGGCATTGCCGGCCCCCGCAGCCAGGGTGGGCTCCGCACATGCTCCTCTGCCCGGCAGTCACACCGCCCCGGCACGGCTTTTCCAGCGTGCTCCGCAGGGCAGACTCTCGCTATTTAGCTCGGCTCCTGAGCACCTGCCGGAGCCTGACCGGCCCTCCCGCCATCTCTTGCTTAGTCCAAAGAGAACAGGAGCTGAGAATCCTGCTCATTGGCAAAACGGGGACGGGCAAGAGCTCGACGGGGAACACCATCCTGGGAGGCAAGGAGTTCGACAGCGCCGCCGCCGCCGGCTCCGTGACCAAGCACTGCGAGCGGAAGGAGGCCATCTTCGAGGGCAGGAAGGTGATCGTGGTCGACACCCCGGGGTTCTTCGACACCAAGCGGAAGCAGGTGTACACCTGGAAGGATCTCGAGAAGTGCATCGACCTGCTCCACCCCGGGCCCCACGCCATCCTGGTGGTCATCAAGATAGGCAAGATGACGGCCGAGGAGCAGAACGCCATCCGGCAGGTGAAGAAGCTGTTCAGCATCGAGGGGAGGCGCTTCCTCATCCTCCTCTTCACCCACCGGGACCACCTGGACCACGAGGGCTCCACCCTGAGGGCCTTCCTGGCCGGCGCGGAGGGGGAGCTGCGGGAGATGATGGATCTGTCCGCGAATCGGTTCATCACCTTCAACAACAACGCGGAGGACGAGGAAGAAAGGAAACACCAGGTCAGGGACCTGCTCAAGGAGATCGACGACATGGTGACGCTGAACGGCACAAAGCCATGCTACAGCAAGGAACTGCTCAAGAAGGACCGCTGCGGCTGCTCCGTCATGTGAGGGGGGCAGCCGGCGCTCCGGAAGGCGGGACGGAGGCCCGTTAGCCGAGGAGCCCGGATCCATCCTCCTGTGGGACAAGATGCGGCCTCCTCAAGACATGGAATCCTGCAGGGCCCCCTTCCTCTTTCCTCCTCCTCCTCCCCCCCCCCCCCTGTTTCACTCCTCACCGCTCCCACTCTGCCAGGGCCGGCTTTCCCGCTCTTTGGTCCCTCGCCACCTGCCCTCCCTCCGCTTGGGGTCACGCGCTGCCCAGCCGCTCCTGCCCGACCGAAAGCTGCCCAGCGGAGCCTCCACTGGAAGAACCCCGGAAGGGCCGTGCTGGACTGGTCCACAGTCCGCGTGCTGCTCGGGCCGGGGCGAAACAGCTGCCGGGACGCAGGGTGGGGGTGTGACAGCCCCTTCCCCGTGCATCCCACAGCTGCCGGGAGGGGGCCCACCGTGCCCATCAAGGGCGGGAGGGGCCCACCGTGCCCTTTTCGCCCCCCCCCGTAAACCTCTGGGGACTGCCAGCACTTTGCCCCTTGGAGTTGCAGTCATGGTTCCCACATGTTCAGCCTGGCCCCCGAAGCTTTGGGGACTTTTTGAAACACCGGGACGGCTACCGCAGGACAAGAATCCGGCCTGGCCTCCTGGTGTTGAGCGGGTTTGGACTGGAGGAGTCAAGAGAGGCCGGGACCGTGCCGGTTGCTGTGGCGCATCCGTGGGCACAGAGTCCAGCTGGGAAGGTTCACGGCTGGACACCGGGAGCACTCCCCAAGGGCCCATGTGGGCCCCCGGCCCCACAGAGTGGCCACGCTTTGCTGGCGTCCTTCTGTGGGGACCCGTCGGAGGGAGCCCTTCGCACTGGTTTCATTGCGTTCCGGTTCATCGTCGGTTCCCGTTGGGCTTCGTGGAAGTAGCTCCCTGGGTTGCCACAACGGCCTCAGTGTGGCTCAGCCATGCCAGCTTCCCAATTAGGCCCCCTTTTCTAATTCTGCCTCTTTTCCTTGGGCGTTGCTTTCCTTTGATGAAGGACTGGAATCCGTGTTCGCCTGTGCTCTCGCTGAGCTTTGCGGGAGGGCCTGTCTCGGTCCTCGGCAGAGATGTTTGGAATGGAGTTGCTCCGAGCAGTGTGAGATCTGAGCTGGGGTTCAGGCAGGGTGGGCCCCAGGCGGGGGTGCAGAGATGGCGCAGTGGGGCATGCTCAGGAGACCAGCAGAGCTGCCCGATCCAGTGCTCAGGACCGAAGTCTGGACTAGGACCTGGTTGCAAAGCAGGCCCCAGCTCCTGACTCCAGACTAGTTCCATGGCTCCCACTTACAGTCCCCGCTGCTCGATAGATGAAACTATTAACTCTTTCCACTTTGTTTGTTTAGTGGAATCGTTTCCTCTATTAAGCAGTTTGTAACAGATGGGAAGTGAGAAGCGAGAGGACAGAAATTCTGATAAACATGAAGTTAATTGACCACCAAGAAGGGAATACCAAAACACAGAAACATAGAAACAGAGCGAGTCAGAAGGGACCTCCCGGGCCATCTAGTCTGACCCCGGCTCCAGCCGGCTCTGCTCACAACATGCCCACCATGTGCACGTCCAGCCTATCCTTGAACAGCCTCACCAATGGGGTGCCACCACCTCCTGGGGAAGCCCATTCCACCCCTTGGGGGTCCCGACTGTCAGGAAGCGCTTCCTGGCCTCCAAATGGGACCTCTGGAATGTAGGGAGGCGTGTGGCTGGAGGACCCTCGTGGCCCCCGCATGTTCCCCGGAACCCCAGCAAGACTGCAGAAGATGCTGGTTCCTCATCACCATGGGAAGCTTTCTCTGCAGACTTCCAGACTGCAGCCTGTGGGCGGCCCAGAGCACCGCAGTCCTAGGGACACAAACGAAGAAGAACAGATCGGCCCGGCAGCGCAACAGCGTGGGGGAGCCCCCGGGTCAGAAAGTGCGCAGACCCTGCCGTGCAAACCCACTTTTTCACGCCGTCGGATCTGTTCGCCGTTTTGCCTCGTTCCAGCTTTTGCTAGCACTCTTTGTTTGCTTTGGGTGCTTCCCACCAGGCTCTGGGATCGCCCAGCCCCTCCTCTGCCATCTGCTCGAACCCCCTCGCTGGCTTTCCCCATCCCCGCCTCCTTCGAGAAACCTGCTTTGAACTCTCCCCCAAGCAGAACAGTCGCAGGAAAGGGATTCCGCGTGTGAAGAACGGCTGCCGCTCCCAAGGTCCGGCTCGTGTTCCTGCCCTTCCCCAGCCCTCCCGCAGATGTATCTTCCCCAATTGCTCTTGGCGACAACAGGCCCCCTTCCAGGAGCAAAGATCGGCTATCGCTTCTTCCATGTGTTTTGAAACGCCCCTCACTGTGCTTTCCCCACACCCTCCCTCAATAAACGCTCTTTGTTCGAGAGCCCTGTCGCACGATCGCCCTCGCATCGGTTGAGCCTGGAGGCCTTGGGCCCCGCGCGGTGGCTGAGGGCCCCCCAGAGGTGGTGCTCCCCACCTCTCAGCACGGAGGTCTGAAGAGGGACTGGCGGCGTCACGCTCGGGAGAGGAGCACAGGGCCTGCGCAGGACGGCCCCTCCCAGGCGGCTGCAGCAGCCACGGAGGCATGGGATGAATTGCGAGGGGCCAGGAAGGCCCTCGGGTCCAGCCCCTGCTGGTGCAGGGAGCCACATTACACCGTCCCACTCCGACGGCTGCCCAGTCGCTTCTTGAACGTCTCTAGTGTGGGAGAGCCTTCGTGGATCTCTGCCTGGTCGTGGCGAAGGGGCTTGCGTAGCTCGATGAAGCTGCGAGCCATGCCATGCAGGGCCACCCAAGGCGGCCAGGCCGTGGCAGAGAGCGCTGACAAAACGTGATCCACCGGAGAGGGAAATGGCGACCCACCCCAGCACCCTTGCCATGGAAACCCCGTGGATGGGTCATGGTGGGTTGGGCACAACTTTGCAACTAAACAGCAGCAGTGTGGGAGAGCCCCCCGCCTCTCCAGGCAGCTGGTTCCCCTGTCATGCTGTCTGGCCGTGAGGAAGCTCTTCCTGATGTCCAGCCTGGATCTGTGTTGTCGCAACTTGAACTGATTCTTCCGCGTCCTGCACTGGGGCACCAGCCAGAGGAGATCTCGACCCTCCTCTTTGTGTGGTACTTGCAGAGGGATATCATGTGTCCCCCCACCCCATCTTCTCAAGGCTGACCGTGCCCAGTTCTCCCAGTCTCTCCTCCCAGATCCTTTCCCCTGCCCTGCTCTGGACCCTGTCCAGTTTTGCTCTGGGGCCCAGCAGCCCGAGCAGGCAGGACCAGCCCCGGTGCTCCCTAACTGGAACCCTGCAGAGGCGCCACCAGGCAGACACAGAGCACCTCTGCCCTTGCACCTGCCGGTTGAAAAAGGCCCTCGACCAGCAGGGAACAAACATGTTTTCCAGCACCAAGCCGGGAGCCATTTCTAATCACTTCAATTCCCAGCAGGCGCTCGCTGCTGCCTCCCTGTTTACCCCGCGCTTCCCTCGTGCTCCTTCCCCGACAAGCGCGGGGCTCTGGCTGCGCGGAGAGCCTCGGGGCCCCAAGGGGCTCGCAGGAGGCAGCTTCTCATCCCGGAAGAGGGCCCCGATTCGCCCCACTCCCGCGATGCGCTGGAGAGGAGAGTCAGCCGCTCGGTCAACGCGCGGGACAAGCCCCTTTGCCGCCCCCTTCTACGGAACCCAGAGAACGGGCGCCTTTGGAGGGCGCAGGGGATGATGGGAGCAGGGGCGCCGAGCAGCCCTCCGCTGCGCTGCCGGCTGCCGCCGCGGTGGCGCATCCTCACGCGCAGCTCCCAGGCTGCAGGCGGCGGGAGAGTCCGGGCTGATGGGGGGGAGCGGGGGGGGGAGGCGCGGCCCCGGCGTTGTTTATTTTTATTTATTTATTAAAACATTTCTATGCCGCCCCTTGCCAAGGCCTCGCACTGCAGGCCCCGCGCGGCCCCAGGAGGCTCGTGCGCGAGGCTCTGCTGCAGGCGGCCCGTTGCCGCGGTGCCCAGGGAAGGGCTGAGCCCGCGACGAGGCGCCGCGGGTTGCAGGCCGTGGGGGTCGGCAGCCCACCACGGAACCCGGGCCCTTCATCGTGTCCGCCGCCCCCTTCCCGCGCGGCTTCCAGCTCGGCCCAGTCCAGCCCAGCTCAGCCCCCGAGCCCTCCCCCAGTCCTGAAGGCAGCCTGCAGCGCTCGCTCGGGGAGGGTTGCGCACGCCCGGGGCTAGAGGGCCGCAGAGGCACGTCCTGCCACCCTGGCCAGGGGCCGGGCAGAGCCGGTGGCGTCGCTGGCTTGCCTCCAAAGCGCAGCGCACCTTGGCTGCCCACGCGCGCGGGCGGGGCGGGGGGCCGGGGCTCGTGCTGGGAAGGCTTCGGGGTCCCGGGACCTGTGGCCCCTTCCCAACCCACCACACAGCCAGGAAGAGGCGACTCGGAGCCGGCCGAAGGCCGCGCTCGGCCCGCCCGCTCCTCTCTTCCTGCGACTCGCGATGCGGGGCCACCGCAGCGAACCCGCGGCCGTCAGGCCCGGACCCCTCGCAGGCTTTCCGCGCGCGTGGGGCTGCCCCTCCCGGGCAGCGCCTGCCCTCGGGCGCCTTCGGCCCGGCTTGCCTTGCTCGGCGCCGCTCGGCAGCTCGCCCTCGCCGGGGGAGGCCGCGGGAGCCCGAGAGCCACCTGCGCCGCGGAAGCCTCTCCCCCGCGCCCGCCTCCCCAGGAGGGGGCGGGAGGCCCGCGGGAGGCGAAGAGGGCGGCGGAGGCTGCGGGTTCCTCGGCGTCGGCGGCCGCGCGCAGAGCAGGTACTGTTGGCTCCAGGGCGTCCCGCATCCCCGACGGGGCGCTGCCCCGCGGCCCCCGAAGCGCGCCTGGCGGCACCCGCGCCGGCACCCTCGCCGGGCTGCTCTGCCTGCAGCCGGCGCGTCCCCAAGGCGCCCCGCGCGCTCACCGCTGCCCGCGGCTCCGACGGGGCGCCCCGCGCCGGCGGCCCTCCATGCTCCGCGTCGGGCGCGCGCACTGGCGCCCCTTCCCCGCCCCAGGGGTCCTTTGGAGCCGCGGCCCAGGGGGGGGGGGGGGCTGAGCTGGGGCCGCTCTAGGGACCCGCGCGGGGGCCGCGGGAAGAGCAGCGCTCGCCCTCCGGGCCGGAGGCAGGGCTCTGACCCACGGATCCAGCCCAGGCCCCCTGTCCGGCCCCGCGCGCGCCCCGCGGCCTTCCGCTCCGCGGTCACCAGGGCGCTGCGCTGCGCCCACGCGGGAACGCCGCCCCCGCCTGCAGCCCCTCAGGGCTCCCTCCCCCACTGCAACGACCCCTGCAGCCCCTCCCCCGAGGAGGACGGAGGAGAGGCGAGGGGGAGGGCTGGCAGGGCGGGGGGGGTCATGGCCGGGCGCCCCACTGTGTCTGATGGGTCGTCCTTTAAACGGGCAGCGCTGAAAACGACCCAGCTTATGCTAATGCCTGAACTCGGTCCCGGAACTTGCATTGCCTCTGAGCATGTGACGAAGTCCGGGCCCCTCACTCTTTACCCTCAGCTCAGGCCGGCCCCGCAGTTGTTGCTTTCAGCCTGTGGAGAGTTTAGCCAAGAGCCGGCTGCCTTCCTTCTCTAGCCTCTCTTCCGGAGACATAATTCCAGAATGTGAAGCCTTTCAAAATGGTTGCATGGCAAGTACAGGAAAGGATATCATCGCGTCTGTCTGTCTGTCTGTCTGTCTCCCTGTCTGTCCAGCTCCCCCATTCCCACCCGCACCCCTGTGACTGGTGTTCCATGGGCGGCTTGCCATCCGTATCTTTACGGGGCCATCCCAGCTCTCAATCCCCACGTGAGGCTCCTGCTGTCCTGCTTTCCCGTGGGCCGGCAGGTCCCCGGATGCATCCCGGCGCCCTTCCCTGGGGGAGGAACCGGGTCTCAGGTCGGGGCTGCGAAGACCTGTCGGCTGATCCTTCTGGGCTGCAGGCTGAGCGATGCTTGGCAGGACCGATCAGGGTCTAGTGACCGGCTCCAGCCTGGCCACGTTGGCCCTGGGAGCAGAACCGGGGTTTTCTGCAGAAACGTGCTCAGCGATGCCAAGCGCTGGAGGAGAGCCGCTCCAGCACCTGCCAAAGCAAAGGAGAAGCCTGTTCGTTTTTCCCAGGAAGGGACAGGGAAGTCAGGGCACTGAGGAGTGTCCTCGTCTTAAAGGACATTAGCCAGGCCCCACCTCCGATTTCGCACGACTGCGCCAGAGAAGGGTGCTTGTTTCTTCCAGAGCTGCTGTTGTCATTGTTGTGATAACCTTCAATCTTTTAATTGGAAAGCAGTTTTATGGAGTTGTTTGGCTTTGGATTAATGCATTAGCTTTGGATTTGATTATTTCCTCTGAGCTGTGTTTACTGGACTCACTTTTATTCTGGCAACTATTATTATTATTATTATTATTATTATTATTATTATTATTATTATTATTACATTTCTATGCCGCCCCTTGCTGAAGCCTCGGGGCGGCTTACAACACAATAAGATACATTGAAATACAATAGAACATAATAATCAGACTGATCAAACTAATCAGGTACGGTTTTCTTAATCATACTGTGATGGACGAGGGTTGCAAAAAGCAACTGGAGTCCCTGCAGCAGAGCCTAACTCACTGCATTCCCCCATTTTGTTTCCAAGTTGGGGCAGTTCTTGAACGGCGGAGAGATGGAATTCTTTAAGAAGAAGTGTCCCTTAGGCTGCAAAAAAGGTGAGCTGCCTGGCCCCCTTCCCCGCCCCACTGCCTCAGACCCACAGCGCCGCAGTGCCGGCAGGGCGCTCCGGCCCGTGCGCGGCAACAGGCAGGGTGAGGTCTGGGCCCAGCTGCAGACCTTGCTGGCCTGGTCCCATCGCCTCTCCCCAAACTGCCCGCCGTGTACGTATGTGGCGCCATGGCGTCCTGCAGCAGCAGGGGCTGGACCTGGTGGCCTTCATGGGCGCTTCCAGCTCCGCTCTTCGACGGTTCTATGCCTCGGGGGGCAGCAAAAATGACCCAGGCTTTGGAGACACTGCCCTGGGAGGAGAGACGGAGGGAACCGGGCCTGTTCAGCCCTGAAAGAGAAGGCTGAGGGGGGACATGAGCTCCCTCTAGAAAGACCTCAAAGGCTGTCCCAAAGAGGAAGGCCAAGGCCTGTTCTTGCTGATACCAGAGTGCAGGACACGGAGTAATCAAGTCAAGCTGTGACAAGCCAGATTCAGGCTGGGTAACAGGAAGAGCTTCCTCACTGCCAGAGCCATACGGCAGTGGGAGCAGCTGCCCAGAGAGGTGGGGGGCTCTCCCACACTGGAGACCTTCAAGAAGAACCTGGACAGCCACCAAGAAGAACCTGGACAGCCACCTGAGTGGGGTGGTGTGACTTGGTGTCCTGCAACAGCAGGGGGTGGACTGGATGGCCTTCATGGCCCCTTCCCACCCTATTATTCCATGATTCTATCATTCTAAGTATTAGACCAGAACAATTATGTGGAGCTGAGAAGGGAGCAAAGATCGCCATGGTCAGCTGTGCACCATGAACTGCGGCTTCCCTCTGGAGGGGCTGCCGGGGCTGCGGGAGGGGGCGCTGGGCCCCCCGCTCCCACATGCACGACTGATCCCAGAGGCGGGTGCCAAGGGACTGGCTCTGCGCTTGGCCACTTGTGCTGCAAGGCACCCCAGGGTTCAGGTCCGCCCCACTGCTGCTGATATCCACATGAAACCCCGAAGGGGAGCCGTCTGGAGGCAGCTTTAAAGGGTGGCGCAGAGAAAGCTCGGTGGCAAGACGAGCTGATTTTTCCCACAGTGCCGGAGAATGCCAGCAGTATCCCTGAGGAGCAAGAACTGCGGATCGTGCTCGTTGGAAAGACCGGCGTGGGGAAAAGCGCCACGGGGAACACCATCCTGGGCGAAGAGAAGTTTGAGTCCAGGCTGACCCTGAAGCCGGTCACCCAGACGTGCAGCGGAGAGGTCCGCGCCCTCCGCTGGAACGGGAAGCAGGTGATCGTCGTCGACACGCCGGGGCTCTTCGACGGCAGCCTGGAACGATGCCAGCACGCCCAGGAGAGCCAGAAGTGCCTCTCGCTGTCCGGAGCGGGGCCCCACGCCCTGGTGTTTGTGACCCAGGTGGGCCATTTCACCGAAGTGGATGAATGCGCCGTGAAGAGGGCGGAGGCGCTCTTTGGCAAGGACGCCGTGCGCAAGATGGTGCTCCTGTTCACGCACAAGGAGGACCTGGGCATGGAGAGCCTGAGCGCCCACGTGGCGCACTCGGGCAACGGCCCCCTGCAGGAGCTGCTCGGGAGGTGCCGCGGCCGCTGCTGCGCCTTCAACAACAAGGCCGCGGGGGACGAGCGGATCGTCCAGGTGGGCGAGCTGCTCTCCCAGATCGTGAAGATGGTGCGGGAGAACCAGGAGGGCCCCCGCCCCAAGAGGGGTCCTGGAGAGGCCCCGGGCCCCGGCGAAGGTAAGCCCCGCGGGCGCAGCGTGGCCGGGCGGGGTGCGCCTGTTCCGAAGTGCGTGGCAGGCACGTCACGGGCGGAGCCGGCTGGAGCCGAGCGTCAGACTAGATGCCCGGGGACCCCTCCTGGCTTGCAGTGCTTCTGTGGGTCCACGTTCCACATCCAGCCCTTCTGCAGGGCTGCCCACGTCCAAGGGGCGCCTGCCTGCCTAGCTGGAGGGAACGGCACGGGACCGACGCAAGCGCGCAAGAGGCAGTGCTGCCCAGAGTGCGCCGGATCGGCCTAGAGCGAATCACCGCAGACCCCGCGCACATTCCTGGTCCTAACCCCCCCGCCCCCGGGTCTGTGTCGTGTCGTGTCGTGTGTGGCTCCCCCCCAGTGGCCACTTCAGTGCCCCCTTGGGGCAGAGGGTTGGGCCCCTGAGATGTGGGTCTCCGTGGGCACTCTCCCCCTCCGCCTCTGCCAGGCTAGCAGGGAACTGTCTGGAGGGGAAGGAGCAGCAGCCTTGGCGTCAGGGTGAGTGCCGGGGAGGGCGGGGGGGAGCCACCATGCCGGGCCACCGCTCTTTCATCAGGGCTCCGACTCTCCGGCAGGCCCTCTGCCCACCCGCTGCTGCCCGTGGCACTTGTTGACGGATAGGGGCAGGCCCACAGGGCCCCGCAGCCCTGGACCACTCCCCCAGCAGCCGGCTTCCAGCCCCCCGCCGGGCCCCCCGCCGCCCTGCCCCAGCGTCTGTCCGCGATCAACCCCCCTCCCCTCCCCTCCCCTCCCCTGCGAGCACACGCCTTTTTCCCGAGAGGGGTGCCTTGGAAGGCAGACTCGTTTGGAGGCAGCCCAGGGAAGGACCTGCGGGCTCCTTTCAGGAACTGAGCGCTGCCCTTGGCGAGCAGCACACGGAGCCGCTTTTCGCCACGGATGCCGGCCCGGGCAAGCCGGAAGGATTCCGCGGCCGGTGGAGTCGCGTGCAATGAAAGGCCCGGTCCGGGGTGGCGGCCCGTGGAGAAGCTGTGCAGCAAGGCAAGGGAGTCGGGTGGCGGCAGCGCCGGCGGTGCCCCAGTGCGGAAGGCGAGGGCACCTCTCCAGCCGGGGGCAGGCACCACCGAGGGGCAGGGCTGGACCGTGCGGGCTGCGGGCCTCGGACTACAGGCCCAGGCCAGGAAAAGAGGGCCAGCATCCCCACGGAAAGACGCAGGCAAGCGTGGAATCTGGGGTGCCTTCGGGGACTCCCCTGCCTGGGAGCAGCGATCGCCCAGGTTTCCCGCGTGAAACTGGCGGGGGAGGCTGTCCGGAGGGCGATCCGGCGCCAGCCGCGTGCAGGTGACGGCCCGCTCCGCCCCCCCCCCCCGCCATCCAGTCCAGGTGGCAGAGGCTGCTCTGGCGGAGGGCCAGCCAACTGAGGCGGGACGCAGGCAGAGCTCCTCCGGGGGTGGCTGGTCTGGCCGGCCTCTTCTGGGGGGGTCGCCACCGCGAAGGACCTGTCGGTGGGTGCCTTCGACTGAGCACGTCGCTGCAGGCCCCGGTGGCCCAGCTGCGCCCCTCCGGGGACAGGCGCCACCTGGTTGCGTAACCCGTGAGCTGGTGCGCACTCGCTCGGCTTGCCGCAAATCTGTGGGGACGCTTGAGGAAGCGGTTGGGGTAGCTATCATTCAGTGACTGGACTTCCACGCCACCCCATGGCTCTCTGGGCAGTTCGGTGGAGGGTTGGGGCTAGGGTTCCGGCTCGAGTTACACCAGATGGAGCCGTGGGGGTTCGGGTTCGAGTGCTGGCTGGCGGGCTCCCCCTGACGGCCACCAGGGCCTGGGGCTCCCGGGCACACTGCAGTGCTCCAAAGATCGCACAGAGACCTCTGTGCAGCAGGGGCCGTGTGTCCGCTTTCTTCCCACAGGGCCGGAGACGGCCAGCGGTTCCGCTGAGAAGGAAGAGCTGCGGATCGTGCTTGTTGGGAAGACCGGGGTAGGGAAAAGCGCCAGCGGGAACATGATCCTGGGCGAGGAGAGGTTCGAGTCCAAGCTGGCCCTGACGCCGGTCACCAAGACGTGCTGCAAGCAGGCCCGGCCAGCCGGCTGGAACGGGAAGCGCGTGGTCGTCGTCGACACGCCGGGCCTTTCCGAGAGCAGCTTTGAGCGCCGGGAGGTGCAGAAGTGCCAGGCCCTGTGCGGGCCGGGTGCCCACGTGCTGGTGCTGGTGACGCGGGTGGGCCGCTTCACCGAGGAGGACCGGGCCACCCTGAAGGGCGTGGAGAGGGCCTTCGGCAAGGAGGCCACCCGGGGGATGGTGGTCCTGTTCACCCACCGGGAGGACCTGGGCACAAGCAGCCTGAAGGCCAGCGTCGAGCAGGCGGGCAACGGCCCCCTCCAGGAGCTGCTCGGGAGGTGCCACCACCGCTGCTGCACCTTCAACAACCGGGCGACGGGCGAGGAGGCAGCCGCCCAGGTGGAGGAGCTGCTGTCCCGGGCGGAGGAGGCCCTGAAGGAGACCCGGGACAAGCCGCCGGCCAGGCGGTTTGCCAGGGGCGCTGCCGGGAAGGCGGCCAAGAGGGAGGGGTGAGCCAGCCCCCCGCGGCCTCCCCACGCACCTCGATGTCCGGCCTTCCTGGGGTGTGCCCCAGAGCTTGCACGTCTGGCTGGACATCGCCGTGCGTGCCGGCGTGGCTTTCCCCTAGCTCTAGCATCGATCCGCATCTTTAAAATGTCCGTACGGCCAAGAGGCCAAGCCAGAGGGCAGCTTGCAGAAGGGGGACATGCTCAAAATAGAGTGAGGGCCCTGGCTGAAGTCCTGCTGCTTCAGGCCGCCAGTCCGTCTGGTCCAGTCGCACGGGGTCCCCGGCTTAGCTATGATCCAGCTGATGGCAGAGCAGAAAACAAGCCGGATTTCACAGCACGGAAACGGTGGGAAACCCTCGCCTTTTGCGCCCCCTGATACTCCGCACCTTCCGCAGCCGGATCTGCACCGGGGTGCTGCTCTGCGAAATGCTTCTGGGCCCATATTTACTTCCCCCTGCTTCCCGTAAGCGCAACACAGCTGTCCAGACCGGGCAGCGCTGTGCACGCAAGAGCGGGGCTGGACCTGGCGGGATGCCGCAGGCGCCCCGGGGTGCGCTCGGGCCAGCCAGGCGGTCCGCCTTGCCCAAGTGAAGCTGGCCACGGTCCGGGCCAGAGCGGCGCCGCCGGGTTCCCGGCATGCGGCTGGTTCAGGCCCACCTGAGCAGGGCGCGTCGGCCCTCCAAGCGAGCGGCACGGGGGCAGCGGGAGACCGCGCGCCCGCCCAGGGCCCGGCTGGTGCTGGGACGGAGCCCGGAGAGGCCACAGCGCAGAGGCCGCGGGCTCTCTGTTCTTGACTCTGGCCACACAGTGGCAGCAAGCCCCGGCCTGCGGGGAGAGGGGAGGGCTGAGCAGAGCGGTGCAGGGGAGCCCCCAAGGGCAGCGTGGGGCGCGGGGCTCTGCGGCCTCTCCGTTGCAGAGGCCCCCGTGCCCCTGGGCCAGCCCCACGCACCGTCCTGCGAGGAGCCCGTGCCACAGCCTGACCCGGGTCGCCCCTGCCCAGAGAGCCTCCCGGGCACGAGGACTGGCTGGACCGGCCCGGTTCCGGCGTTCCCCAGGAGAGGAAGGGCTGGGCCTGAGGCACGCGGGCTGCCGCCTCTCCAGCGGTCGGCACGCTTCCCCCGAGGAGCAGGTGCAGGGTGGCGGTGTAGCTGAGCTCTCGCAGGCTCCCTGGCCCGAACCCCGGCTTGATGCTGGCGGCCCGGGGGACCACCAGGGAGGGGAGGCCTCTGCCGGGAGGCCTCCCCTGCACACACCCGTAGCAGTAACCGGGGACCTGAACAGTCTGCGGGCAAGCGTCGTGTTGGCTCTGGAGGGCGTGAGCTTCCCTGGGCGGTGGTGGCGGCCCCATCGGTGCGAGTGTCCAAGGACAGGCTGGACGTGCACATGGTGGGCATGTCGTGAGCGGAGCCGGCTGGAGCCGGGGGTCAGGCTAGATGGCCCAGGAGGCCCCTTCTCACCCGCTCAGTTTCTATGTCTAATCCCAGTGGCTCCCCTGCAGGCTGCCGAGGGCGGCCCGGTGCAGCCGTTGTGTTCTGGCCTGTGCAAAATGGGGATCCTCCTGATGCAGCCTCTCCGAGGCCACCGGACGGAACGGACAGTCCATTTTCCTTTCGGCGTTCCAGCATGAAAATAAAAGAGCGTCCACGGTTGCATTTAATGCCCGAAGGTCCCTTGCCGCCAGCTAAGTTGGCTTAGGACAAATTTCGCTCTGGCACTAGGTAGCTGTCGCAGTTCAACTATTTTAATAGACTTTAAACATTGTGCAAATATTGTTGATTGTATTATTTAAATAAGTTGTCTTTTGCTGTTGGTTGTATTCCACCCAGGGAGGCCTGTGTTGACTTACAAGTGCCGTTATATAATACCAATATTTAAATAAAGGACTTTTAAAAAACCTATTCAGGCTTTATTAGTCTATCCATGCAGTTGACTGCTGCAGAAAAACCGTAATTCGATCATAAAAAAGAAATATCCATTCATGTATTTAGTAGCATAAAAAGTCCTCTTGGGGTAACTCACGCCTTGCAGTTCTAGAGAACGCAGATTTGATTCCATAGCATGGACACGGGTGGCGGGTCTTGACCTCTCTTTGCGATGCTGCTGCTCGATACAGCTTTTGACTTCTAGCCCTCCCTGTGCAAGGTCACACAACCACAGAGCTGAAGCGACTTTCAGTTTCTGCTGCTGCGTAAACCAGAAGGTTCTCATGCTGAAAAGGAAACCAGAAGCTATTTCAGGCTCGGTCTTCTGGAGAGTTGGGGAGAAGCTGGAGGTGCTGAGAAAAAACAGCCAGCCAGACGCATCCTGGGCCAAGAAAACCGCCGAGGGGCGCATGGGCGGGAGAGGCTGCCGTGCGCGGAAGGACTCGCTTTGCGCAGGCTTTGGGCTTCGTAGTGCTGAGCGACAGTGAGTGTGTGTTCGGTCATCCATCTGGGCTGCGCTGGGCTGGGCTGGGCTTTTCACTGGTCCTGGTCCCACTGGGTGCCGGGGGCAGTGAGAATTGTGCTGGCAGCCCCCCCCCCGCCCCAGTTTTGGTGTTTGGAAAGGGTGCATGATTCCGTTTAGATGCCAGGAAGCACTTCCTGATGATTAGGACCCCAGGGGAATGGAATGGGCTTCCACGGGAGGTCGTTGAGGCCCCATCGGTGAGGGTGTTCCAAGATAGGCTGGACAGGCACATGGTGGGCATGTCGTGAGCAGAGACGGCTGGAGCCGGGGTCAGACTAGATGGCCCGGGAGACCCCTTCTGACTCGCTCTGTTTCTATGTTTCTATGATGGATCTTCTCAATTTGGCTGTTCAAAATGAGTGTTTATTAACATTCCTATCAGATTACTTGGTGAGTTCGAAAATGAAAGTGCTACGCAGAAACTCGAGCGTGTGGCTGCCGTTGCTCTGCCGACCTCTTTTTACTGTTCCTGTTTTTATGGTTTGCGATAAAACCATATTTCAAAGGTCGTTTACTGCCTTGAAGGCTCTTTTGAAGATAAAGCAGCACATAAATGCAAAAAATACGTTAACAGATAGAGCCACGTCGCGCTGGCTGTGGGAGTACACGGATAGTCCTGCTTTCCCCTGGCTCAAAGCAGAGAACTGTGGCACAGGATTGGGGGGCAAGCCCGGAAAGGGGGGGCAAGTGCCACTCCCCCCGCCCCCCTGGGCAGCTCTTCATTGTGTGTTCCCCAACTCTGACTTTGGTGGTGGCAGCCTCGGGGCGGGGGGGGGGGGGACAATTCTGCAGGACGGCGTGTCCCCCAGGGCGCCAGCTAACAGCTCCTGCCGTGCGTTCACTCTAGGACTCTTGCGTTGCCTTGGATCCTGAGACATGTCCGGGCTCCCCATGCAGAGAGAAATGGCCCCAGGTGAGTCCTCAAGACGCGTGGTGGGTGGCTGGCTAGCCAAGGAATTCCGCACGTGCTCAGGGGTTCCCTATTCTGCATGAGAGTTCTACAGGTCCTACCCTGAGCTCTGCAGACTCTGAGTGAGCCCGGTGTGCTGACCCATTTGCGAAGCCGTCCGGGGACCGGGCCAGCGCCAGTCTCCGTGGAGCGAGCCTTTGCCGGGGGGGGGGGGGGGGGTGTGCTTTGTGAACAAATCCCCCCCCCCCCCCCCGCCCCTATTTCCACCAACTGCTGACTTTCCACCAACTCCCAGGTCTGGCAGCTTCTCCCCAGGTGCAAGATGGCCGACACGCAAAGGTTCTGCACGCCACCTGACGGCCTGCGGTGCCTCCTCCCCATTTGGCCCCCGGAGCCGCTGCAGCCGCAGCGACTCTCCTCCGGGGGGAGCCACCTGGCTTCCTGCCGCGGCTCCGTCCGCTTCTCCAAACGAGCCAAGTGTTGCCACACGCACGTTCAGCGAGGGCTGCGGCTGAGACACCGACCCGCCCCGCTTGAGCAGGCCAAGGCTACGGGCCCCTCGGCGGGCTGGCCGGACTGGCCAGGGGTCTTGCCCGGCCCGGGGGCCACTGCTCAGGCACGGCCCCCAGCTCCGCAGGGAGAAGGGAAGGCGAGCTGTTGCGGGGGCCGCCTTGCTGAGGGGCACCCGGCGGCGGTGTGCTGGCTGGGCCGAGGGGCGGGGGGGCCTGCCCTCTGCCGGGCACACGCCCCCCGGAGCCTGAACTGCAGGCGGGCAGCCTGCCGTCCGCCCTGGCGAAGGTGGGGGGGAGGCCGTACAAGTGCTGGACCGGGAAGGGCGGTTGGCACGGCTCCTGCAGCCACGGGTCCACCCGACGGACCGCGTGGGGCGCTGTGCCAGGGCCCCGGGGTGGCCAGAGGGGGGGGACGCGGGGGACGCGGTCCGCCAGGATGACGGCCAGGCCTAGGCCAAAGCGGCCCGAGGCATCCCGCTCAGGAAACTGTGGCGCTTTGGGGCAGGCGGGGGCGTGGCTGAGGGACCGCCAGGAGAAGGCCCCCGCCAGCCGGGTGTCGTCGGGATGGCAGCTGGTGACAAGGGGGGTCCCCAGGACCCCGTTCTGGGGCCAGTTTTGTTCAGCCTCCCTCTCCATGACCTGGGGGAGGGGCGACCAAATGCACAGGAGATACCAAGGTGGGGGCGGTGGGCACACCTGAGGCGCAGGCGATGCAGATCGAGAAGGACGTGGGCAGGCTGGGCGGGGGGAGCAACAGGATGGTGTTCCCTGCAGAGAAGTGGACAGCCTTGTATTGGGAACAGGAGTGGGTGCCATGGGGACGGGATGGGGGGCGAGGAGCTGGAGCAGCATTTGTGGAAGGGACCCTGTGGGACTGTGGGCAACAGGCTGAACGTGATGTGGCCATTAAAGAGGGCAAACGGCACCCTGGGGAGACGCGCCAGAGGCTGCACCGCGCGGGGGAGGTGCTGGGGCCGCTCGAAGGGGCTCTGCTGCGTCCGCAGCGGGGGTCCTGCCTGGATTCGGGGTCCATGTTCCCAGGTCGGGATCGGTGCAATGCAGGGTCGCGAGCATGAGGGCCGGGTTGCGGGGCGCCCCATGCCAGGAGGCTGAGGGAGCCGGTCTTCCTCAGGCTGGAGAAGAGGCTCGGAGGGGTTCTTAGAGCAACCTGCCGGCACGTGAGGGGGCGTCACATGGCAGAGCGGGGCGACCTGTTCTCTCCTGCGGTGGAGGGAAGGATGCGGTCCCGTGGGGCAAAGCTCGAGGAACCGGGTTTCAGGTTGGATCACAGGAAGTACTCCCCAGCAGTTAGGACCCCTGGGATACAGACTGGGTTTCCCTGGGAGGTGGTGGAGGCTCCATCAGGGAGGGCATTCAAGGACGGACTGGGCAAGTACACGCTGGGCGTGCCGTGAGCGGAGCCGGCTGGAGTCAGGGGCCAGACTAGATGTCCGGGAGGCCCCTCCAGGCTCGCTCTGTTTCTACGTGCTGGTTTGTTTCTCTTGCAACACTCCTGTGAACACCACTCTGACTTTATAATTTTATCTTGCTTTGCAGGAAGTGAACCAGAACTGAGGATTCTTCTGATTGGCAGAATGGGAGCTGGGAAGAGCGCGACAGGAAACACCATCCTGGGGTTTAAAGCATTTGAGACCTGGGCCTCAGCCGGATCAGTGACCAAATCTATTGAGAGGAAGGAGGGCGTCTTCGAGGGCAGGAAGCTGGTGGTGGTGGACACCCCTGGGGTCTTTGACACCTGTGGTAAGGTTGTTTACAACCACAGGAGCATCCAGGAGAGCATTGCTCTCCTCCCTCCTGGGCCCCACGCCATCCTGCTGGTCATCAAGTTAAGTGCCATAGGTGAAGGGGAGCAAAAGTCATTTGGGCACATGAAAAGGCTCTTTCTCACTGAAGGAAGGCATTTTCTCATACTTCTCTTCACCCGAGGAGATGAGCTAACATTGGATGATTTAACTCTAGATGAATTCTTAGCAAATGCAAGTGGAGAACTGAAGGAGCTGATGGATCTGTCTGGAGACCGATTTGTTCGTTTCAACAACAGGGCTGAAGGAGAAGAAAGGGAAAAGCAGGTCAGGGACCTGATTGAGCAGATAAACCGCAGGAAGGTACTTAATGGTAGAACACCGTGCTACACGCAGGAGCTGGCCTATAGGGACAAGCCCTGGTGTTCAATATTGTAACGTAAGCAGGAAATGTTCGGAAGGGAGGGTGGAGACAGGCTTGCCAAGGAACCCAAATCCTTATTCTGATTATGTGGGACAAGCAGCAGCTCCCTTGTGGAAGCAGGTCCTGCAGGCTGCCTTCCTCTTCCTCCTACTCGAGTTCTTCTTACTCTGCGCAGTGGCCCTGCTCCTCAGCGTAACCGGGAAGCTTCCTCTTCCGCCCCTTCGGTCGCTTAAGGCATACCGTCCCTCTCCTTCTACTTGCCCTTGCCCTGTGAGACGGGCCTGCATTGTGCTTCCACCGGGACTGGATTGGAAAGAGGCGTCTTTCTCACTGCTTCAAACCCCTCTAAGAAAGTGATGTGTTGGGAAAGTCCAAATAAATCCTCAAATAAAAAGATATGCTTTTCCGTGTGCTTTAATAGAAAATCTGGCAGCAGCGCCCTTGCTCCGCTCCACTCCACTCAAAGGGAGTAGAACTTTTCGCCCAGCTTCATGTGCCTGGGAAAAGCAGGCAGCCCCGCGGGCTCCCGTGGTCGTGTGTTCTCTTGCCGAGTCAGAAAGAGTGGTTGCAAACAGTGGTTCCTGGGGAAGCAGCACTTGCTTTGCAGTGCAAAAATTCCTGGCCAGCTCACGCTTTGTCTAAAGGAATTCTGTATCTCTGATTGCAAAAACCACAATATTTTAAACCTGTTAGATTTCTGTAACCCCTGATGATTTTATTTGTGACCTGCTACTCAAGCCTGTGATGAGTCATCATGTTTTTCCTGATGCCTATAATCATTTCTCAGCGTTTCTGTATTATTCTGTATTTAAATAATAATAATTTTTTCTTTTTTTTGTTATATTGTTATTATCTATGTATTTAGTTTTTGTTGTGAGCTGCCCCGAGGCTTTGTTGCGATGAGGGCGGCATAAAATTGTTTTAAATAAAATAAGTAATAAATAAATTCCCCTTCTCCACACCTTCTCACCCATTCAGAATCTCATCCCTGCCCTGAAACTATGTAGTGACCCACAACCTATGAAATATCCTGTATCTGCTCAAGAAACGTGCAGCCAGTCTGGAATACTGGCTACCCGGCCCTGCTGCTGCACTTGTCTCTGTCGAAGGGGTTCCCGGGCAGCTCGAGCGGGGCGTCTTCCGTGTGGATCTGTGCACACATTCTTCCCTTCTGCTAACCTGAGTTTAGCAAGTCCTTGTGACTCACGACGGACTCGTTCCTCAGACGGACCCCCACGTCCTCACACCGGGGCAGGAGGGTCCTCCCTTCTGCGAACGCTCTTTCCCCCAACGCAGCCCTCCAAGGAGAGTGCCAGGGCGCTGGCGGCCGGGAAGGAGATCGGCAGGTGGCCTCCCGGAAGGCCCCCCCATGCCCTTGCGCTCGCCTCATTGCGCACCCTCTCGCTTCACGCCTCCGAACCGCATGCAATCGCGGCCGGGCTGGGCTGTGCTGTGCTGCGCCCGTCTTTCCGCAGGAGCCGCCCGCGATCACGCACGTCTTCCCTGCACGAAGGCGGCTGCGATCCCGGCCATCTCCCCCGTCGGAACTGCGTCCGTGCAGGGAAGACGCAGAGGCGCTGGCGACAGAAGAACGTGCAGAACTCCAGGGCGAGCAGCAGGAGCACCTGCGGCGGAGGATCCCACTGAGGAAGAGGAAGGCAGGGAGGAGGGCAGCGGTGATGTGACACAATCCATCAGGGAGAAACGGAAGGAGTGCCAGGGTTTCTTCGAGAAGCGCCAGCCCAACACAACTGTAACAAACAGGGTCTTGAATCTGATGAACGATAGCGTGGTCTCTCATTTCTGGAGCGTTATGCAGCGCAGGAAAAAATAAGTGCCTATAGACAGATTTTTCCCCAAACTGACCCTGCAGCTAAGAGACAAAGGCGAGAGGAAACCCCTGAAAGATCTCCCCAGTGTCCCTACGGAGGGGGGCTCTCCCTCCAAACAATGACCTCCCCCCACCCAGGATAGTGTTCTCCACTGTACGGTACAGAGCTCTGTCACTTCATTGTTCTTTGTCTCTTTGTTTCAAATTTTTCTGATTAAAAAGTAGTTACAGAACAGATTGGCCTTATTTACATTGAACCTTATGGGACATTTGACTTGGCTCACGACCAATTTGGGTCGCAACCAGAGTCGTGGAACGGATTACGTTCATGAGCCAAGATACCACTGTATTTGCAAGTTGCTCCAGGAGCACTTCTGGTTAGAAGCATAGAAACAGAGCGAGTCAGAAGGGGACTCCTGGGCCATCTAGTCTGACCCCCGGCTGCACTCTGGTTGAGGAGTAGGAGAAAAATGCTCCAAACCAAGTAAATCAGTATATATATTAAGTTACATATTAAAAAGACCCATGGAAACCTGAGCATCTGCTCAACCTTCACCATCTGCTCCCGGGCTTACTTTAAGGAGAGCGAGGCAAATGGCGGCAGGGGGGGGCAGGGGAGACAGCAGAATATCCAGCAAAACTGATTTAAGAGCCAGAGGGTTTTATTGCATGTAACCCTAGCTTCTTACAGTTAATTGACAAGGAATTAATTAATAACGGCCGCATTCCTTTAGCACAAGGTCTTCCCCTCAACTGCAAACAGCAAAGATAGGACAGTGGAGTTGCTGAACCGGCTTTTCAAGGGGTGCCCGCCAGCCCAGCGTTCGTTGTCCCGGCACTGCTGCCCGATCAGTCCCCGCGACCAGCCCCCTGGATCCTGTTCCCGGGTCTCGCACTGCGGATCCAGCGCCTCTGTGAGGTGCGGGTCCCCGCGGGGGATGCCCGCCCCAACGGGACAGCTGCCGCTTCTCCCGCAGGCCTTCACGCCAGGGTGGGCCCCCTCGCTGCTAGAATGCCGGAGGCCGCCAGAACAAGGGCGGCCCGGCCCAGGGGCAGCCCGGAGACCCGCCGCAGGGCTGAGGAAGGCCTTCCTGCTCGGGCCAGGAGCCGTTGGGCGTCCTTCTGGCCCAGCGGCGTCCCCCATCTCCTTGCACGAGCCGGGCCAATCCGGCGGGGTGCTTCCAGGCGGCCCCCCCGGGGCAGATGGCGTCCGCCCCCGCCCCCCTTGTGGGCACGCTGGGCTGGGGCCGTTTCACCTGCCGGGCAGCAGCTCTGCTCTCCCGTCCTGCGAGCGGCAGACGCGCCCGGGCAGGGAGGTGCCCTTTGCACCCCAGGGGCCCCGGACAGCCACTGGGCGTCACGGCAAAGCTGGGCAAGGGCGCCAGGCGCACATCCAAGCGGCAAGGTCGCGGTGCCCTCAGGCCACAGCCTGACTCCGCCTGCCCCAGGAATCTGAGCAGGGGCACAACGGGGCGGTTTCTGGTCATGGAAGCCCCAGATTACCCACAGCTGCTGATGCGGAGGTTGGTTTCGATGATGGGTAGGTCCTGAGAATGGGCAGGGCCGGGACATGCCGAAACGTGTGGTCGTTCCACGCACAGCCATCCGCAAGCACGAAAGGGATGGGTGGACCTGCGCAGGCACCCTGCGTCATGTGGGGTGTGCGGCGCGATATGCGTTAAAATGTGGCAGCCCCCCGGAATGCCAGGGCAAGATGCAAGCGGAGGTCCCTCGAGAGCATCGCTCAGCCACGCAAGTCAGCCGACGGACGCTGGACGCTGGACGCTGGCGAGGCCCCCCAGAGGCTGGCTCGCACGCCCAGGGAGGAAGGGCCCCGAGAGCCCGAGCGGACGGTGCCGCAGGAGAGAGGGAGGTGGCGGTGGGCGCTGCTGAGCCAGGAGGGCGCCCTGCTGCGGCCTTCCCTCATGCACCGGACGGGGAGAAGCTCGCTTCCCCAGCTCACAGGGCTCGTTGCGCTGGGAATGAGGGGTGGCCCGGGCCCTTTCCCCAGCCCAGGGTCCCCTTGCAAGTCCTTGCCATCATGCCTTCCACTGGCCTGTCCTCTGGCCCTGCTGGAGGGGCCAGCACAAACTCTGCAGCTGGGGGGAGGGCAGTGGGGGGGCACTGAACTGATGCAAAAACAAAGGGCTGGAAACCGCGGCTACAAGCTTGCTCCAATGAGAGAAACCAGCTTCCACAACAGGAAAGCCACCAAGCTGCAGCCACAAACAGCAGTTGCAACCTTCAAGGAACATCCCAACATCTTCCTTTGCCTTGCCCGTTGTCCAGCCCATCTGTTTTCTCCCGGGAAAGAACTGCACTTCGCACGGGTTATCCTGGACTCTGCATACATCTGGCCGCTGTAATGGCCGCCTCCGTTCTCCCGGACCAGCCCCTGCACCATCCCCAGCAGCTGCGAGACCTGCTGCTCCCGCTCCGCTCCCACGGCCCGGTTGTTGAACGCGCAGACGCGATTCCCGCATCCCGCAACCAGCTGCTGGAGAGCCTCGTTCTGTGACTGCTCCACGTAATCCTCCAGGGACATCCCTCCCAGATCTTCTTTGCGGGTGAACAAGATGATCATGTGTCTCCTGGCCTCAGTTCCAAACACCTTCTGGACTCGCCGTGCCGCCTCCCTGTCTTCGGCGGTGAAGCGGCCCACCTGGGTCACGAACAGCAGCGCGTGGGGGCCGGGCCGGGAGAGCTCCACGCAGCGCCGGATCTGCGCCTCGACGGAGGCCTTGGAGTCCAGGATATCCGATGTGTCGACCACCGAGACGCACCGGCTGTTCCAGCTTCCCTGCGCCTTCTGGCACTGCCGCGTGGTGGCCGTCGCCTGGAGCCTGGAGTCGAACTCCGCGCGGCCCAGGAGGGTGTTCCCCGTAGCGCTCTTGCCACCTCCGCTCTTCCCGACGAGGATGAGCCTCAGCTCCGATCCTCGGCCGTCCTCTGTGAATTATGAAGGAAGCATCAGAGAAAAGGCCGGCCACCGCCAGGACGGGACAGGCAGCCGCATGAATCGCGACGGCGGCTCGGTTTTCTGATGTTCACGGGGACACGATACCCGGCCGTGATCCATCCAATGCACACAGCGATGGGCTTAGCATGTTCCTTGGCGCCTGTCTGGGCAGGAGGGCTCCCAAGGCACGCGATGAGGGGCGTGCCGGAAATGGCCATGGCCCCGGCCTCACGGAGCAGGGAGAGCAGCAAGAGCTGCAGCCGCTGCGTCTGACCTGCGCTCTGCGAGGAGACGGTTGCAGTCGGAAGCTGCCAACAAAGGCTGGTGTTGGGAAGAGGAGGGGTCACAGAAGCAGAAACAGGGCGAGCCGGAAGGGGCCTCCCAGGCCAGCTAGTCTGACCCCTGGTTCTGCTGGCTCTGCTCACGACACGCCCACCATGTGCATACCCAGCCTGTCCTTGAACACCCTCACCAATGGGGCCTCACCCACCTCCCGTGGAAGCCCATTCCACCCCCTCGGGGTCCTGACTGTCAGGAAGTGCTTCCTGGCATCCAAATGGAACCTGGGTTCCCTGAGCTTTGCTCCGTTGGAGCGCATCCTGCCTTCCTCTGCAGGGGAGAACAAGTCTCTCCCCACCTCTGTGTGATACCCCCTCACATACCTGTATGTCACCAACAGATCCCCTCTGAGTCTCCTCTTCTCCAGGCTGAAGAGGCCCAGTTCCCTCAGTCTCGCCTCGTACGGCATCCCCTGCAAACCAGCCACCAACCTTGTGGCCCTTCGCTGCACTGACTCCAACCTGGCTATATCCTTCCTGTAACAAAGGGCTCAGAACTGAGCACAATACTCCAGTTGCTCTCGAACCAGAGTCGTGTAGAGTGGTAGTAATACCCCTCTCGATCTAGAAGCCACACTTCTGGCTATGCAGCCACGGGTGGCGTTTGCCCTCTTGGCCACCGCATCACACGGCTGGCTCACGTTTCGCCTGCAGTCGACCAGCCCCCCGAAGTCCCTTTCACAAGTGCTGCTCTCCAGCCACTTGTCCCCTAACCTGTACTTGTGACACCCGTTCCTATGCCCCAAGTGCAAGACCTTGCACTTCTCCACACTGAACGCCACCCTGTTGTCTCCTGCCCACTTCCATAGTCTGTCCAGAGCCTTCTGGATCCAGAGCACATGATCCTCAGTTGTGGCCACGGCCCCTGTTTTACTATCAGCTGCAAGACTGGCCACCCCCTCCGCCAGGCCATTGATGAAAAGACTGAACAGGATTGGCCCAGGACAGAGCCCCGGGGGACCCCGCTTGCCACTGGCCGCCATCCGGAAGATCCCCCACTAATGGTCACCCTCTGCTTTCCGTCAGTCAGCCGTGCCCTAATCCATCAGATGGTGCGTCGGTCCATCCCCAAACTCCTCAGTTTCTCCACCGGGATCTCCATCATGGGGCACTTGGCCAAGGCCTTGCTGAGGTCCGGGTCAAGCACCTCCACCGCGTGCCCCGCATCCAGCCACCCCAAAACCTCGTCGCAGATTCCGCACCAGCCAGCTCCACCCGGGAGGCCCCTTCTGACTCGCTCTGTTTTCCATGTTTCTAAGCGCCCCTTCCGAGTTGCTTTACGGCTCGCTGCACGGAGGCACGACCGGAAGTGGCGTGCCCTCCGCCTCGCTCTCGGGGCCCTCGGGGTCCGTCCTGAGCCTGGCGAGCGCTGGCCGCGCAGGAGGTAGAGCGTGGACCGTGCGGCTCCGCTGCCTCCACTGCAGCATCGCTGGGCCGGGCGGGCCTCCCCGTGCAGGGCAAGGGCCGGGGCCGGGGCTGGGGCCCCGCGCTCCTCCCTGAAGACGGCGCGTGGGTGCAAAGCTGCATCCGCAGCAAAGACTTCTGGGGAACGTCCATGAATGGCCCCCTTCTGGCCTCCCGAAAGGGAATCCACACAACACTAACTGCAACCAATCCCAGGGCAGGGCCTGGGGCGCCTACCCATAGCTTGGCAGCCTGCCAGCCCCGGAGGCAGACGTGCAAAGAGGCTCTTCTCCATACGGCCGGGCTGCACCGCACAGCCGGGGTGCTTGGAAGTGCCCCCCCACCCACAACTGCAGCCTGGAAACAGCAGGAGGGAGGCCCCGGGGAGCAGCAAGAGCCCCCAAAGCGGGGGCCCGGAGCAGCAAGACCCTGAGGTCGATTGCAAGCGGTCTCACCCAGATCTGACGCTTCGCCCTGGTCTTCCCCGGCAGACTCAGCATCTCTCTGAAACGGTGTGATAACAGCAGGTGAGCCACAAGCAGCTTCCAGTTTTTAAACAAAAGCACAAAGGTCAGTGAGAAATGTGACCCCCTCCACACACACCCCCTCCCCCAAAAGAAAAAAAGCACAACCACGTCCAGGGCACGAGGGGAACGCTCCAGTTCGGATTCAACTCTTTGCATGGGCCGATGCCTCTCCCACACATGCGGGGGGGGGTTGGAGTGGGGGGCAGACTGTTCGTCTGAATTCAGGCGGCTTGCACCCCCATCCACTCTACGTCCGGGCCAGTGCTGCCAAGGCACAGCCGGCAGCTGCTGGGGCGGGGCAGGTGGGCCACTCCTCCCGGCTCCAGGGGGCTCCCGGCGGTCTGACCGGCCAGCAGCACCGCCCTGCAGTGACACCCCGTGGCTCCCTTAGCAGCAGCTCTCGGGGGGCACAGGGGGGCTCAAGCCTCAAGCAGACTGAAAGCAGACTGCCAGCTCTGCATCCAACCCGGCTGGAACAGGCCTGAGAAAGGAACCAACCTCGTGGCCCAACGGAAAAGCGCTTCCGGAGCACAAGGGGGCGTTTCAGCACTGCTCTCTCCCCACGCCCAGGAGGACGCGTTTGTGTGTCGCTGCCGTACAGCCAGCTGCCGGGCGCGGGGAAGCTTTTAAACACGCGCAGGTGCTGCGCATCTGTGGCTTCCGAAGGTCTCCAGAGGGGAGCCTGGCTGGGCCGCGGCCACACCGCTCCGCTTGCCGGGGGGCCACATGTTCAAACCCCGCCCCCTCGCAGGCCCACCTCGCAGCAAGGCTCACCTGCGAAATTGGTTGGTAATCCATATTTTTTTCAGTGGTGCTGCTCTTTCCACAAAAGAACAAGCTCCTGGGATTTGTCCCTGCAAACAGTTGCAAGTTGTAACTTGTTTGGATAAAAGCTTTTATCCCCAGAAGCATTTGATTGCTGCAGTGCCTGTACCTGTATACCTCCAAATCCCAATCCTGTAAAATTCCTATTAAAGCAAACAACGGAGTGAAAAACAGGGCACGACCAGATACTTCTAAGTCTGGGAGGAGAGAAAACAGCGGGACATCGTTGTTATTGTTGGTGTCATAACCATCAAGTTTCCACTGTGCCTTTTCTTGGGGGAAAAAACCAGCACGTGGCGCAATTGCTTGCATGTCTCTTGGAGAATAACTCTGTGGGGCTCGGAGGGACCACCTTCCTGCTAAATCCATGGGGACTTCTGCCTCCGAGGGCGAAGAGATGAATTAAGCCTCACAAGTCTGTAGCGGTGGTCGCACCCCAAGCAGTGCATCGCCATCCGTGTGCCAGTGACACACGGGCCCAGCTCACGTTCGTCTTCCGCAGGGGAGGCCGAGGGTGCACGGAAGCGGTGCCTGGCCGCAGCAGCGCGCCGGACGGGCACGAGCAAAGCGGAGCCCAGTCCAGACAAGGCTGAAGCGCCGCTGGCGAGAGGTTCTTCCGGCCGGACGGCGAGAACGCAACCTTCTCCCGGCGGGGTGGCACCCCCTCGAAGGAGCAGGGCCGCAGCTCGGGGTGCTCCTCTGCCACTTGAGGCCCAGGCGGCGTCGGTGGCAGGCGCTTCTTCTACCATCGCTGGCTGGAGGCTCAGCCACACCTCTGTCTGGGCAGAGACAGCCCAGCTTCACACCCCGGTGGTCTCTGTGCTAGATTATGGCCGTGCGTGCTGTGAGGGTCCCCTTGAAGACTGTCTGGAAGCCGCAGCTTGGCAAAAGGCCCCAGCCAGATTAAGAGCGGGGCCAGATGGTCTGGTCACCCAGCACCAGTCCTCGCCAGCTTGCACTGGCTGCCTAGATGCTTCCAAATGCAGTTCCGTACTGGTTCTGACCTACAGAGCACCACATGGCCTGGGACCGGGGTGGCAACCCGCGGCTCCGGAGCCGCACGTGGCTCTTGAACCATGTCCCTCACAACATGGGCTGGCACAGCCGCTCATCTGCTCGAACGCCACTTCACACACTTCACTTAACTCAGCGCTAGCTAGTTAAATAAATCAGCTAGTTAAGTAAATTGCTACCTTCCTCTGGAAACAAGCTTCCTCTCAGGTGACTCAAACGCTACTGAAAAGATTGTCCTTGTCCCAGAGTAATCTCCTTCCTCTGAATGTTAAAAGCTGCGCTTGGGACCTGTCACAATTCACAGCACTTGACCGTTTATCTGCTAATCAGGCACTAAAGGCACCTAGATCCACAAAGGGTACCTCCGATTTACTGAGTTCCCCCCGCCCCAACCATGGATAATTCAAAGAAAAGTTTCTGAAGAAAACCAAATTATGCATTAAATGGTACGTGGGTAGATTCATTGGCTTTTACTGCTGACAAACTTATGGGGTTTGCTGTTTAATGGATGGAGCCCTTTAGGACTGACTTTGACTCTGCAGGAGGCTGTTCTCTTATTCAAAATATATGAAAGGAGTCCTACTAGTGTATAATGTAAGATTAAAAATAGCAGTTTTTTTAGCCTGGTGGGCCGTCTCTCTCAGCCTCCACTGACCCGGCACTGCAGCCAGGCTCTGGGGTCCCCCTCCACTTGCTGTCTCCAGGGGGGGCTTGGGGGGCACCAACAAGGAGAAGGGCCTTTTCAGTGGAGGCCCTCCAGTTCTGGACCAAGCTACCCAGGGAAGCCCCCCCCCCTTTTACTGCCTTTCTGCCACCAGGGGAAGACTGCCCTCCAACGCAAGGCATTCGGTTGGTTCCTGAATGCCAGTGGTTAGGGTTTAATGGGGTCTTTTCAGTTTCATATAATGTTCTGTTTTTAATTTGGTATTGTTAAACATTATGATATTTAACACGCTTTAATGGTGTATTTTATATTGCTTTTTGAAATATGTCGCCATGACCCACCCAGAGAGCTTTGGTGGTTGGACAGTGTGGACAGGAAGCAAACCAACCAGCATCTCGTCCGTGGCCACTCACCCTTCATTCGCGCATTTGCCTTGAGCTGCTTAATTAATCCCGAGGGATTAATGAGCAAACTGGGAGTGACGGCTGACGGCCCTCCCCGCTGTGCGGCAGAGCAGGCACTACCGAGCCCGGAAGGCCCACGGGCCACGTGGGGTGAGGACCCTCCCCGCTAGCTCTTCCGTGCTTGATGGGACAAGGGGGGCGAGGCCTCCCCAGAGGCAGAACTGCCGGGCTTGCCCATGCCCCCACCGCCCCCCAGGCAGCTTCTTCGGGGGTGGGATTCCCCATGCACCATGGGCTGCCGGCCTGCCCGGCAACGGGGCCATCCATGGCTTGATCCAGCAGTCAGAGGTCTGGAAGAGCTGGCGCCATGAGCACCTCCAGCCGCGACCTCCTGGGCCATCGCATTTCAGAGGTGCAGCTCAGGCCCGGCCAGAGGAAAATGCCCCGAGCGGGGCTAAGGAAGCCCCCCAGGTCCCTCGGCAGCCCCAGCACAGTGCACCTCCCAGGAGCCTGCACAGCCAGCCCCCGGGGCAGGTCCCGGCTTGGCGGGGGGGGGGGGGGGGGCAGCGCAGGGAAGGGAGCCGTGGCCGGGCCAGTTCCTGAGTGGGGCTGATGGAGCGGGGCTCCCAGGCTGGAGAAGGGGGGGGGCAACGCAGCGGCTGACCCCGCAGCGGGTCCAGGGGCTGTAGTGCAGCAGGCGCGTTTCCATTCAGATCACGCGCGATGCGGCCGCGCTGTCCCGACAGGCAACGAGGGGCGTGCGGGGGAGACGGAGCGCGGGGCACAGAGCCCCCCCCCCCCGCAAAAAGGCTCGGTGCCGGCCCCTCCGGGCGCCGCTGTGGCCGAGCCCTTCTCTGCGGCGTGGGCGCCCCGCTGGCCGGCAGGGCGCCGTCTCCCCGCTGCATCCCGGAGCCCGGGGCCGAGTCGGGGCGAGCGGGCCCCCGCGGCCGCCGCTCGCCCGCCTCCCCTGCGCAGGCACCTCGCCCCGGAGCAGCCCCGGACCGCGCCGCTCGCCCGCAACGGGCCGCCAGGCAGCCGCGCTCTGCCCGCCCCTGCCCAGCCCTACCTCTGCCGAGCCTGGCGCGGGGGGCTCCTCCGCGCGCCCCGGGCGGCCCCCGCTTCGGGGCGCGCTGCTTGGCTGCCTCGCGAGGTCCGCGGGGCAGGAAGCGGCCGCGCGCGCTGAGCCGAAAGCGAAAGTCCCGGCGCGGCGCGGCTCCCGCCCCGCTCGCCGAGGCTGCCGGCACCGCCCCCCCCGCCGCCCCAGCCGCGCAGACCCAGCGCGGCGAGCGGCGAGCCCCCCGCCACGCCGCTCGGCCCCGGGGCACCCTCCGCCCGCCCGCCCCGAGGTCAGGGCGGCTTACAATACAAAGAAAACAGACTAAACGAAGCAAACAGCATCCAGCAAGTCAAGATCAAAACCCCAGTTAAAACCAACGGAGCATTAAAATAGTGGGGAAATAAAAAGATTTTCCCGTGACGCTGAAAAGCACATGGCATCAGCCCCAGGCGAACCTCTCTGGGGAGCGTATTCCACGGAGGGGGCACCACCAAAGGGAAGGCCACCCCCTGATCTCCTCAAGGACGGCTCCCGGAGCAGGACCTCCGCCTCAGATCTCAAGGGGCGGGAGGGCACACGGGAGAAGGCGCTCCTTCAGGTATCCAGGCCCCAAGCCCCAATTTAAGGTCATCCCCAGCACCTTAAATTGGGTGCAGGCTCTCTAAGTACCTCAAAGGCTGCCACAAAGAGGAAGGTCAAGATCTCTTCCCACTGATACCAGAATGGAGAAAGTGGAATAATCAAGTCAAGTTGCGACAACCAAGATTCAGGCTGGACATCAGAAAGAGCTTCCTCACTGCCAGAGCAAGACGACAGTGGGACCAGCTGCCTGGAGAGGTGGGGGGCTCTCCCACACTGGGGACACTCAAAAGGAAACTGGGCAGCCCTCTGAATGGGGTGGTGTAAACTGGTGTCCTGCAACAGCGGGTGGGGGCGGGGGGGTTGTACCCGATGGCCTTCGTGGCCCCTTCCAGCTTTACTGTTCTATGATTCTATGGAGCGCTGGGCTGAAAGCAACCGACTGAGACTCGGCGGGGACCAATGCCGAGTCCTGCAGCAGGAAAAGAAACCGGGGGCATCGCGACAGGGTGGGGAACGCTCGGCCCACAGCACTGCAAGCGGGGAGGATCCGAATGGCTGCAGATCCGCGGCTGAGCAGGAGTCCACAACAGGATGTGACCCTCAGGCGGCTCCTGCCAGGGGGCTGAGCGAGGCGGGGGTGGAGCTGAGCAACAGGGCAGCAGGATCTGGGAGCAGGGAAACCGGACGGGCTCTCGGGGCTCCGGTCTGGGATGTCATGTGGCTTTGCTGATGTGACATTGTTTGTTTAAAAACACAGAAACAAAGAAACATAGAAGCAGAGCGAGTCAGAAGGGGCCTCCCGGGCCATCCAGTCTGACCCCCGGCACCAGCCGGCTCCGCTCACGACATGCCCACCATGTGCACGTCCAGCCTCTTTATGGATTGCTCTCACCTGCCCAGAGAACGTTGGTGGGGGACAGATAAGAAAAAAAATTGATGATGACCCAAACCCTGATGACAAAACTACACCTAGCAGTGGAACAAAGCATGTTTATTCCCATGCTGCTGGGGGGGGGGGGCTGTGGGGGGGCTCTGAAGTGGGCCTTTTGCCCCCCCCACCCCCAGCTGACCTGCTTCTGCAGGGAAAAGAGGGCGCCGCTTCCTTGCTTCAGGACCCTCCCCTTGCCTGGCCCCCCTTCCCCTCTGCCCTCCCTGGATGCAGTTCTTTCCCCTGTGCCATGGGGGGAGGACTGGGCAGGGGTGGGGGCTTTCAGACACTGCGCCCCCCTCCACCCCCAGAGCTCCTTGGTATCCCTCAGGGGAGATCCGTGAAGGCCGGGAGCCCCCCCCTCCCCGAAGATCAGATGGGCTTTCCAAGCCCCATGGCTGCCTGTTCCCTTGTGGGATGGGGGTCCGGGATGGGGGGTCCAACTGAGCACTTGCGAGCCGCAGAGCTGCGTCGCCCAGTTGCTCCCGGGACTCAGCGGCGCATTGGAGAGTCTGGAAGCAAGAGGCCGTTTCTTCCAAATCCTTGTGGAATTGTTGGACAAGTTTTCAAGGTGCCTGGATGCAGGGGAGGCGCTGGAGGTGGTTCACCAGGATCTCAGCGAGGCCGTTGACCAAGTGCCCCATGAGGTCCTGGTGGAGAAACTGGGGAGTTTTGGGATACACCAAAGCACTGCCGGATGGATTAGGGCACGGCTGACTGACGGAAAGCGGAGGGTAACCATTAGTGGGGGATCTTCGGGATGGCGGCCAGTGCCAAGCGGGGTCCCCCAGGGCTCTGTCCTGGGCCCGATCCTGTTCAATCTTTTCATCAACGACATAGCAACATAGAGAGAGGCAGAAGGGGCCTCCTGGGCCATCTAGTCTGACCCGGGGCTCCAGCCAGCTGCACTCACAACATGCCCACCGTGTGGACGTCCAGCCTGTCCCTGAACAGCCTCACCAATGGGGTGCCACCACCTCCCGGGGAAGCCCATTCCACGCCCTCGGGGTCCTGACCGGCAGGAAGCGCTTCCTGGCCTCCACCTTGACCCTTGGCTCCCTGCGCTTGGCTCTGCTGGACGTGGAAGAGGGGCTGACCAGTCTGCTGATCGAAGTGGCAGGTGGTCCCAAAACGGGGCAGTGGCCACAACGGAGCAGCAGGAACTCCATACTGTGGAAGTGGCCGGGGCCACGGGGTGGCGTTCAATGCGAGTCAGGCCTGGCACTTGGGGCACAGGGACAGGCGTCGCAGGGACGGGACGGGGGACCCGCGGCTGGAGAGCAGCTCCTGTGAAAGGGACCTCGGGGCGCCTGTGGGCAGCAGGCGGAATCAGAGCCGGCAGTGCGAGGCAGCAGCGAAGAAGGCGAACCCCAACCCTTGGATGCGCAGGCAGGAGTGCGGCTTCCAGATCTGGGAGGTGTTGACACCCTTCCACACAACTCTGGTGCACCCACAACAGGAGTGTCGTGTCCGGCTCTGGGCTCCACATTATGGGAGAGACGCAGCCGGTTAGAATCGGCCCAGCACAGCGTCCCTAGGAGGGGAGCCGGGTTGGGAGGGATGATATATGAGGAGGAGTTGAGGGAGCTGGCGGGAGCCGGGGGTCAGACTAGATGGCCCAGGTGCCCCCTTCTGACCCGCTGTGTCTCCATGCTTCCATGTCTCTGAGATGGAGGATGCTTGGCTCACAGCACTGCAAGTGGGGAGGATCTGAATGGCTGCAGATCCGCGGCCAAGCAGGAGTCCACAACAGGATGCAACGCTCAGGCAGCTGCCGGGCCGCTCCTGCCGGGGGGCTGAGCGAGGGGGGGTGGAGCCCAGGCAAACAGCAGCAGATGCCGGAGCAGCGGAAGTGAAAGGGCTCTCGGGGCTCCGTTCTGGGAAGTCACGTGGCTTTTCCGATGTGACATTGTTTGTTTTCTAGATTGCTGTAAACTGACCAGAGACCTTTGGCCATGGAGCAATAAAGAAATAAAATTGAGGATGGTGATGATCAAACTACAAATGGCAGTGGAGCAAAGCAAGTTCATTCCCATGGTGCTGGGGGGGGGGGGCTCTTAAACCTTTGCGCCCCCTCCCAGGCTGACCTGTTCATGCAGGGAAAAGGGGGCGCCAGCATCCTTGATCCAGTATAGCTCAGCAGGGAAGACTGAGGGAACTGGGCATGTTCAGCCTTGAGAAGAGAAGTCGGAGGAGGGACATGATGCCCCTCTAGAAGGACCTCAGAGGCTGCCACAGGGAGGGAGGCCCAGATCTCTTCCCGCTGACGCCAGAGTGCAGGACACGGAAGAATTAATTCAAGCTGCGACAACCCAGGTCCAGGCTGGACATCAGGATGAGCTTCCTCACCGCCAGAGCAATAAGGCAGTGGGACCAGCTGCCTGGAGATGCAGGGGGCTCTCCCACAATGGGGGCATTCAAGGAGAAACTGGACTGCCCTCTGAGTGGGGTGGTGTGACTTGGTGTCCTGCAACAGCAGGGGGTGGACTGGATGGCCTTCACGGCCCCTTCCAGCTCCACGATTCTTCGAATCGCATACAGTGAACCTGGAGGCACCATGTTTACCAAGGTGCCTTTGGGGAGAGAGACGGGAGTCCAGTCAGGGCTGCGCTTTCCACCAAACCCTCGCTATGCACCACCCGCACCAGCGGGAGGGACTGACCCCCCCACGCACACCCGCCCCCAGGCAGCGCCTTGTCTACGAGGGGCTCTGGCGCCCAGAAGCTCTCCGGCCAGCACAGCGGCCACCAAGTCTGTGGCCTACGGACAGGGGTGCTCGTGGGCGACTGCAGGCCAGAGACGTCCGTTCCCACGTGCCCAGAGGCCCTGCGCCGCCCCCCACGCGAAGCACAGATCGGCCGCTCAGACGCTGCAGCTGCCTGCGGGGAGGCGGGGGGGAGGGCTAGGTAGGGGAGATGGCGAGGATCGGAAACCGGCCCCACGGCTGACCCCTCCCTCGCTCGTGCTGGACACCGAGGTTAAAAGAGCGGGGTGGGGGCAGTCCCAGCCGCCGTTCCTGCCGCGGCCTCCAGGGATCCCTCCCCTCGAGGGCAGGCGCCCCTCCGGCTGCCCCCACGGCACCACGGCCCCTGCCTCCGAAGGCTGCTGGCCGCCCGGCAGCCCCGCCCGTGGCCGCCCCCCGGAGCGCCCGCCCCGCCCGCGTCTCTCGCCAGTGGGGGGGGGGGCGCCGCTCGCGGAGCCGCGCAGGCCAGAGGCGGGGGGGGCGGTCAGGGCGCGCGCCGAGGCGGGGGGAGGCGGGGGAGGGGGAGCGGGGCGCGCCGCCGGGGCAGCTGCCAAGAAGCGCCAGGGAGCGGCGGCGCCAAAGCTTGGGATTTTATTCTATTTTTCATAAACACGCAACTCCGCCGGGAAGAGAAAGTGAAAGCGGAAGCCCGAGCGGGACGGACGGGAGGCTGGAGCGGAAGCGGGAGACTGGGGGCCCGGAGCTCTTGCGCGGAGCCCAGCGTCCGGCGAGCACTTTCCCGGGGGGCGGCGGGCAGCCCCCCACATGCCGTACCCCCCCCACCCCAAGCCTCTCATCACTGCCGGCATCTGCCCAGGCTCGCGTGCGCACGGCGGTCGCCCGGGGCCCGCGAGAGACCCGCAAGCAGCCCGGCAGCAGCGCCGCCCGCCGGCTGCAAGCGCCCGGATCCCCGGCGCCCATCTGGCCCCCTTGCGGGCGCTCGTTCCAGTGGGAAATGATGCGCGGCACGAAGAAGGCGCCCCTTCTCTCCGTCTCGCACCTGGCCTCCGCCTCACGGGGGGGGGGAAGGGGGGGAGAAGCCCCCCAACACCAGGCGCAATCTGGGGCCCTCCCGGTCGCCCTTCGCCTGGGCTCGGCAGGCCCGCGCCGCAACTGGCCCTCGCGCTCCAGCCCCGATCCGCGCTCGCGCGTTGCTGCCTGGCCCGCGGAGCTCCCGGCGCAGCGCCACCGCAGCTCTGCCCCCGGGGGGGGGATTGTTCCCGGCCCCTCCCCGCCGGACAGGCAGCTGGCCTCTTTGGCGGCCGCCGCACGCGCGTCGCCCCATTTCCGCGCGCTTAGTCGAGTTGCGTGGCGCCGGCCGGGCGAGGCTTCCGTGCCGCGCAGCGCAGCGCATGGCCGCAAGCGCAGCCCCGGAATGACCGGCCCGGGGCGAAGGAGCCCGGGCGCGTGCCTGCAGCTCCCGGCGTTCCGGCGCGCGCGACCACCCCCGCCCTGCCCTTCCGGGGCTCTTTGGACCACCCTTTCCCGCCCTTGCCGAAGCTGCCACTTCGCTCCAGCTGCGAGTGCTTCTCTGGTGGTCGTTCTTAGCATTTATTTATTTAGAAAATTTCTAGGCCGCCCCTTTCGCCAAAGCCTCGGGGCGGCTTACAAATAAATAAAATACATAAATAACAATATAAAATACACATAACTGTATAAAATAAGTCGCCCTGGCCAAAAAAAAAAAAACTTTAAAATAAAATAACATTAACAATTAAAATGACGCTTGAATAAAAAGGGCTTCGCCTGGCGCCGAAAAACAAATAACAACGGCGCCAGGCGGACCTCTCTGGGGAGCGCATTCCATAGGTTGGGTGCCACCGCAGAGAAGGCCCTCCTCTGGGTACCTACCCTCCGAATTTCCTTCACGGAGGGTTCCCGGAGTAGGGCCTCTCCCGCAGATCTCAAGGGGCGGCTGGGCATATATGGACATAAGCGCTCCTTCAGGTAGCCAGGAACCAAGTCGTTTAGGGCTTTATAAGTGATCACCAACACCTTGAATTGGGCCCGGACTTCAATGGGAAGCCAGTGAAGCTGACGGAGGACTGGAGTCATGTGAGCATAATGCCCAGTCCCCGTCAACAGCCTGGCAGCTCTATTTTGAACGAATTGAAGTATCCGGACCGTCTTCAAGGGTAGCCCCACGTAGAGCACGTTGCAGAAGTCAAGGCAGGAAGTCACCAACGTGTGTGTCACCATCGCCAGGCAGTCGTACTCCAGGTAGGGACACAGCTGATGGATCAGCCGAAGCTGAAAGATAGCGCTCCTCGCCACCACTGTCACCTGAGCTTCCAGTGAAAGCTCTGGGTCGAGGAGCACTCCCAGGCTGCGGACCTTGTACCTAAGAGGGAGTGCAACCCCATTCAGGACTAGGTTCAATTCACCCTCTCCGAAGCCCGATCCGCCAACCAACTGGACCTCCGTCTTGTCTGGATTGAGCTTCAGTTTATTGGCCCTCATCCAACCCATCACCTCGGCCAGGCACCGGTTCAGCACAGCCACTGCCTCACCTGGATTGGTGGAAAACGAGAGGTAGAGCTGGGCATCATCGGCGTACTGATGTTTCCGCAGCCCACACCTCCGGATGACCCCTCCCAGCGGTTTCATGTAGACGTTAAACAGCAAAGGGGACAAAATGGAGCCCTGTGGGACTCCATGGCATAGCTGCCATGGCGCAGAGCCACAGTCCCCCAGCACCACCTTCTGGAGTCGGCCATTGAGATAGAAGCAGAACCACTGCAGAGCAGTGCCTCCGACCCCCTGTCCCGCTAGCCTATCCAGAAGGATACCATGGTCGATGGTATCGAAAGCCGCTGAGAGGTCCAGGAGAACCAACAGGGACGCACTCCCCCTGTCCTTCTCCCTGCACAGGTCATCGTACAGGGTGACCAAGGCAGATTCAGTACCGTACCCGGGTCATGTGCGTGGGGGTCTCTTGTGCGGCTCAAAGGGCTGCAGAAGCGCGAGACACGCAGCCAAGCGGGAAGGCCCCTCGTGCTCCCCCCGCCCCTGCCCCCACTCCTGGGAAAGAGGAAGCCACTGCAGCCACAGGGCCAGCAGGGGTGGGGAGGGGCGGATCACAGAATCCGGAGGGCAGCCTCCCCCCCCACTGCTCAAGCGCACTCAGCGTCTGCCGAGCCAAAGCGAGCCCAGCCCCACCCTGTAAAAGGGAAACCGCGTCGCGCTTCCGACACTCCGGTTCTGAGGCACTGCAAAGGGAGATCGCGCGGCGGCGGGGAGGGCCTCCCGGGACCCCACGGAGGATTGCTTGCTGCGCAGCCGGGGATCTGGCAAGGAGACACGTCCAGAATTGCGAGCTGGGAATTTTACCAAGTGGTTTCATTGTCTTTCTCCAGGGTTGTGGCAGCTCGTGATTGAAGGCTGCGGTGGATAACATGTCACACAGTGAGTCTCCTGGGAGCGGTTGCAGCCTCAGCGAGTATATGCTGCGTGAAGCACACCTGTGGGATGTGGGACTTCCCCCACAGATGCCCCAGAAACACCTGCTGGTTCAGGTTATCCATGCGAACGGATCGGGTGGCGTGCCTGGCTGGAGAGCCTCCACCGCGTCCCTTCTGGGGAGATTCCAGAATGGGCCGGGTGCTGAGTGTTTCCGGGGTTCCTCTCATTTGCTGTCCTCCATGCAAGAGACACATCAGCCCCGGATCACCAGCCCCTTCAGTGGCCAGGAAAGGAAGGGCTCCGCAGCTGGGGGCCACGACGTGGCGAGCTCTGCTCCAGACCGGCCACGGACGTCCCGTGGTGTGTGTTCACTGGCATTCCAGCCGCTTTTTTCTCTGAGGGCCCCAGCTCCCCTTTCCCCGTCCCGCCCTGGACTCCCGGCTGAGCAGGGATGCAGCCCCGGGTCTTCCCAGACGCAGCCCGGCACGGGAGCCCCCAGGCCAGGCTGCCGGGGAAGAGGGGACGCCCCCACCCTGCCGGTTCCCATGCGATGTGGGTTGGATGCAGAGGGCACAAGGATGTGGGGCTCCCCTCCCAGCAGAGCGCGAGTTTCCAGAAAGCGGCCCGGTCGGCTGCCCAAGGAAACGGAGCCGAGTGTTGCCTGGATACGGACACCTGGTGCCAAGGCCGAACCTGACCGACCGGGGACGCCCTCCGGGAGGCCAATCTGGGAGGCCAGGAAATGGCGCTCCGCCTCAATAGGAGGGGCTGCGCTCCCCGCGGGGGCGAGCATGCGCCTGAACCCAGCTCTGCCACCAGGGGGCCCGGAGTTGTGCAGCGGTGGCTGGGCTGGGCCAGTGGTCGTCCGGCCTGGGTGGTCCGTCTCCGGGGCACTGCCCGGCTGGCTCACCGCTGCACCCTCCGCGAACTGCGTGGGCCGCCCCCGCGCATCACTCCCCGTGTGGCAGCTGTGGCCTGGCAAGGCCCTGGATGGCTTGGGACCCGGGCTGGAGAGGCCGGCTCTTCCCAGACCGGCCTGCCCGGGGCTCCAGGCCTTCTGCTGTGGCGCTGCTCCAGGCACCCTCCAGGCCGCAAGAAAAGAAAGGGGGCGCCTTGGAGCAGGGGCAGCAGGCCGGGGGCCGGGGGCCGCCTTCCCGAGCTTTTCAGCGTGAGAGAAAGCCGTATCTTTCTCCCAGAAACCGCTCAGCCTGCCTTCGGACAGAGGCTCGCGGTCGCTCCTTGCGCTGCGGCCACGGAGGGTGACTCGTGCTGTGCCTTATCGTGTTTCTGAAGGAATGCCTTGTTCACGCTGTGTCCACCCTGGGCTTCTGTGTGATGGAGGCGCCTCTCAGGCAGAGCTGGGCCACCTGTAGGTGAAGCCATACGTGGCACCGGCTTGTTCTGGGCATTTCACGTGGTCGTGGGAGCTCTGCTGATGTGGCCAAATCTCTCTCACTTCCCACACAGAACTGAGAATCGTCCTCATTGGCAGGATGGGATCCGGGAAGAGTTCGACAGGGAACTGCATTCTGGGCAGGGATGTGTTCAGATCATCCTGCTTGGCTTCTTCGGTAACAGACTGCTGCCAGAAGGAGCACGCCTCTGTGCAGGGGCGGGAGGTGGAAGTTGTCGACACGCCCGGCTTCTGTGAAACAAGAAATAAACTAACATGTATGAAGGAGCACATGAATTTGAGCATCGCATTTCTCCGGCCGGGACCCCACGTGATACTCTGGGTAATAAAGGTGGAACTCCTCTCACGGGATATCATGGAAACTATGCAGCAGGTGAAAAAGCTTTTCCAGAAAAGAGGAAGGTACCACCTGGTCGTTCTGTTCACATTCACAGACTACTTGAAGGGCACGCCTCTGCAGGAGTTCATAGACTCGGCAGGGAGAGAACTGAGGGACTTGCTGGCACTGGCCGAAGGGCGATGTGTTGGCTTCAACAACTTGGCCGAAGAGCCGGAAAGGTCGCGCCAGGTCACGGAACTGTTTGGGGTGATCGACGGCATGCGGAGGAGTAACACGAACATGCCGTACTATTCGAAGGCGGCCCTCGAGGAGGACACCTCATCCAGGGGGTCCTGCTCGCTGCTGTAGCAGACGGGCCCCGGAGCCCAGGGGGAGCGTGTCCGCAGTGAACCCAGCAGGCCGTGCAGCCGGGAGGCAGGCGGGCGAGGGGGCCTTTCCCCAGAAGTGCCGGCCGGCCGAGCTCCCGTGCGGAGGCGCCCCTGCCTGGCCATCCGGCGGCTGCCCTGCCCTGAGAAGCACGCGGAGAGGAGGAGGTGCCTGAGCGCCCTCTGACCGGCTTCTGACTGCACCCCCATTCGCGGTCACCTTCGTTTACCAAACGCAAAATAAAATTAATCCAAAATTAGCAACTGTGTGAATCATGGTCTTTCTTTTGGAGTTGCATTCAACATTTTGCCAGACTCTTCGCCAAAATGGTCTTTGGTGACGCAAAGGCGCCCACTTGGGCGGGGGGGGGGGGGGCGTCGGGGGCCGCTGCTGCAGGCCGACCTGTTTCTTCTGCAGATGCTCCTTGGACTCTGCCTGTTTCCGGCTGGTATTTCGTTCTCACAGGACCAGAATCTGCAGCGGATGGGGGGGGGGCGCCAGGACCAGCCCCTGCTCAGCGCAGGCTCCGCATTGTTAACACCACTGTTTCCGTCAGAAGAGAAAAATATTCCAGGCATGCCGAGAGTTCTTTCTAAAACTGTATTGCAACGAAGGGAACAGAAAAAATACGGTTTCCTTCCCATTTTTCGGTTCCCCTGAGCACATGTTCACCCCCCGGCCCATTTGGGACACTGCTGGGGCCGCCTCTCCCCCCTCCTTGGCTGGGGTACCGGGGGTTTGCAACCTTTCCCCCCCCCCCCCCGACTCCACGCTGCCCCAGCACCGGCCCCAACCCAGCCCTGCCCCCGGTGGGCCCATCTTGTTCCGCCCAGCTCGTCCGCTAACAAGCAGGAAGCCAGCGAGGCAGCCGCCCTTCCCGCGCCTCGCCCGCGTTCCCCGAAGTGACGCGCCGAGGCGCTTTCGGTTTCGCCCGGCCGATCCCCCCACGGGGCCCCCCTCGCGGCGCCGCTCGGCCGGGGGGGGGGGGCTCGAGGCTGGCGGGGGCGGGGCGCGCGGGCAGCGGCGCGGCGGGGGGGCAGCTGGGCGCGCGGGCTCGCCGAACCTGCTCCGGCGGCGGGGGCGCTGAGGGCGCTGGGCGCACCGCGGAAGCAACGAGGCGCCCGCGGCCGCTCGAGGGCGGGCCGTTCCTCGCGCGGGGGGTGCGCCCCGCCCTCGCTGAATCGCTCCGGCGACGGAGCCGGGCAAGAGCCCGCGGGGGGGGGGCGGCCTTGCCTGCCTGGGTGGCCAGCTGTGCCCCCGCCCCCCAGCGCTGCCTCGGCCCCCTGCCTGCCGGGGCGCTGCCTGTCTCCATCTCAGAATCCCGCGCCCCAGAGAGCCCGCTCAAGGTTCCGCCAGTTCCGCCTGGGCAACGCCGGGCCTTGTCCCCCATCGGCCCTCTGCTCGCTCTGTGGGGATGGAGCAGAGCAGGGTTCCTTTCTGAGGAGGGCTTCCCTGCTGCTGCTGGAGGGTCTGCTGGAGAACACCGAGCGGTGCCCGAGCAGGCCAGTGGGGACCGCATGCTGCGTTGGCCTCAGGAACCGCCGGCGTGTTAGGCCACGTCCGAGGTGGTCAACTGGCAGGGGGGTCTTAGGGGAGCCAGCTGGTGCGAGTCCAGTGACAGAGCTGCGATGCAGTTCCCCGTTCTCTTCTGCACTTCTGCTTGTGTGTGGTGTGTGTTGTCGTGTCGCAAGACCCTCCGCCCCCACCTTGTCAGTCCCCACTGCTTGGGTCGTCATGTGCTGAATCCGGGGGGGGGGGGGCCGGGGGGGGGGGGAGAGGTGAACCGTGCCAGCCGCTGGGAGGCGGGGGCTCTGGGGAGGCTGACCGTCGCACCCAGGCATGGCGGCTTGGGCCGGCAGGGTGCCTCAGGGCTCCTGGCTGCGGAGCGCCCCCACCCCCCGTGGGGTGGCCTGCTCCCCATGTAAAGCTGTCCGAATCGGTGGCCATCAGAGCCTCTCGCGGCAGGGAATTCCATGGCTTGACTAACGGAGCAAAGCTCAGGGAACCAATGCTCCATTTGGAGGCCAGGAAGCACTTCCCCGGAAGGTGGTTGAGGCCCCATCGGTGCGGGTGTTCAAGGACAGGCTGGACATGCACATGGTGGGCATGTCGTGAGCGGAGCTGGAGCCGGGGGTCAGACTAGATGGCCTGGGAGACCCCTTCTGACTTGCTCTGTTTCTATGTTTCTATGTCAAGTGATAGCATCCCTCTAGAATCTCACAAGCTGTCACAGAGAAGGGCGAGATCTCTTCTTGCTGATGCCCCAGTGCGGGACACAGAATAGTTCATTCAGCCTCGACAACCAGGATCCAGGCTGGACATCAGCAAGAGCTTCCTCACTGCCAGAGCAAAGAGACCGTGGGACCAGCTGCCTGGAGAGGCGGGGGGCTCTCCCACCCTGGAGGCCTTCAAGAAGAAACTGGGTAGCCACCTGAGTAGGGCGGTGTGCCTTGGTGTCCTACGACCGCAGGAAGTGGACCCGATGGCCTTCACGGCCCCTTCCAGCTCTGCTATTCTACAATGCTGCGTTCTGCGTGGAGAGGGCCTTCTCAGACCTGTCCAGAATCCCCCGCCCCTCACCTTTATGGGGCGACTCGCTCGGGTTTTAGCATTTTGGGGGGAAGAAACACAGCTTTCTGCCCGCTCTCCGCCCATCGTGCAGGAATGACTGGGCATGTTGGAAACCGCAGGAGCAGAGCCAGCTTGTGCAGGGGCCAGACTGGATCTCCCCGGAGGCACCTTCCGACTCGCCGTTTCCAAGGCGTCGTGCAGAGGCTGCCAGGAGGCCTCAGGTGCAGCCCCTGGGGAGACGGAGCAGCGAACGGCGCCGGGTGCCCAGCCTCGTTCGTCCTGCCTGCTTCCAGCAGAGCAGCTGAGGTGGGACGGCACCACGGAATGGACCGAAGCCGCGATTCCGGGCAAAGCCCGTCCGGGAGGAGAGCTCTATGCACAGCTGATCGCCCTGCGTGAGCATCGATCGTTCACAGAGACCGCACCTCCTTGCGCTTGCTGACGCAGCAAGAACAGGAGGGTTCTCCAGACCCCCCGCGATGTTGTGCACACAAACTGCGCACTCCAACCCAGTCACTATGCGAATTAGTTTATTAGTTCATCCGTCATTCTGTGGACACTTAAACGCGAGATAGTTAACGGCCTTTACAGGGGCTACAGTCGGCTCGCTGCCTGGGGCTCCTTCCCGTGCCCAGGCAAGGAATAGTAGAGGAGGAGGAGAAAAAATGCCCCCGACAGAAAACACCCCAGCAGGACCCTCGGCCGCTGAATCCACCTGCAGAAGCGGCTGAAGAAGTCTTCTCCCTTGGCCTTTCCTCGGTCGAGGTAGGCACCGAATGCCGCCTCCATCGCGGAAGACTCAAAGAACGGCTTGGACTTGGCTCTCGTATTCACCTGCACCATTTTCTCCACCATCCCCATCAGCTCGTTCACCTGCCCCTCCCGCTCCGCTCCCACGGCCCTGTTGTTGAACGCACAGACGCGATTCCCGCATTTCTCAACCAGCCACCAGAGAGCCTCGTTCCCCGACCGGTCCACGTAATCTTGCACGGAGAAGGTGCCCAGATCTTCCCTGCGGGTGAACAGGACGATCAAGTACCGGGCAGCCTCCTTGCCGAACGCTTCCAGGATGTGGTTCGCAGCCGCCTTGTCTTCGGCGGTGAAGCGGCCCACCTGGGTCACGAACACGAGCGCGTGGGGGCCGGGCCGGGCGAGGTCAATGCAGTGCCTGGTCTCGTAGGGCAGGTCGTCGGTGCTGGCCTCGGGGCCGCAGATGTCCGCCGTGTCGATCACCACGAGGGCCTTGCCGTTCCACTGCCCGCGGCACCCTTGGCAGACCTGGGTCGTCGGCCTCGCCTGCAGCCTGGAATCGAACTCCGGCCAGCCCAGGAGGGTGTTCCCCGTGGCGCTCTTCCCGCCGCCGCTCTTCCCGATGAGGATGAGCCTCAGCTCACTGTCTTGCCCTGCGGGTGGCGAGGAGGCGCCTGTGAGAAGGCAGGGCCCGCTCGGCGGCTCCACTCGCCCCACTCACCATCTCCGAGAGCTTGCCCGATGTCCGGACACGCACCCAGTCCGGAATAGGCAGGGCACGACTCGGGCACAGAGACGGAGGGCTGGCCAGGCACACGGCTGGTCCCATTCCACCCGGGATCTCTGGCCAGAGGCTTCCCAGAGGAAGGAGGCGAGAAGCACCCCTGCCGAGGCCCCGGCAAGCCACCGGCAAGCCCGGGGGGGCCACAGCCAGCCGGCGCCTCCTCTGACTGGGCTGCCCCCTCTGCTGCTGCGCCATGGGGCAAGAGGGGGCTGCCTGGTCCGTGTCTGGGGGACTCCTCTGCTGAGCGTCCCCTCCTGCCCACTGTGTGGCTCGGTTTATCTGCCCCCCGGCCCCCACCCCTCTCCTCTCCTCTCCTCTCCGTGTCTTGGTAGGGCCCGTGCCCCCTTCCTCCAGTCCCGCCTCACATTCCGATTCTGATTCTTCTGAAACCCGGCCAGCAGTCCTGGAGGATGCGTGCCCAGTGCAGAGGGGCTGCTGCAGGTGGGGTGGGTGCAAGGCCTCCGCTGGAGACCGCGGGGGAGATGGTCCTTCAGGAGGCCTGGTCCTAAGCTCTTCAGGGCTCCGGTCGTTACTCTGTCCCCCTGCCCCGCCTTCTCCCTCAGGGAGGCATCCAATGCTGGCGCCAGTGGAGCCTCCCAAAAATAGGTGGGGTGAGCAGAGTTGCCCCTGCCCATGAGTCCCGAGGCGATCGAGGGCCCCTTCCGTACCTGGCCTGGTCCTCTCCATCCTCCCCTGAAAGAGCGATGAGAACATGGTGTTAGTGAAGCACAGCCCCCCGTGGGCCAACCTGGCGCACCTGCAGGCAGGTCCGTCCCTTCCTTCTGCCGCCTGGAAGAGCGAGGAGCTGGCCCGGCCTCCCACCCGAGATGCATGCCCTTCCCACCGAGAAAAGGCACGTGGGGATTCGGGGGGGGGGGGGCGGATTTCAGACGCAGCGCCTGCGGCGGCAGCTGCTCCCTTCCCAACGCAGCCACCTGCCCCGCGGCAGCTCGCCCTTGGGCGGGAGGTGCTGGCCGCGGCCCCCGCGCGGCCCCCAGGGCGCCCCTCCTTCCAGCCCGGCCAGCCTCCCGCCTGCTTCGGGGGCGGCCCCGGCAGCGGACTTGGAACGGAAACCGGGCGGGCGCCGGCGCCTCGGAGCGCGGCATCCGCGGAGCGCCCGAGACGTGGAGGAAGCGGCCCACGTCCCCTGCCTGGGCGGAAGGAGGCGGCGCGGCGGGGCTCCCGGGGGCTCTTCGCCGCCGCGTCTCCCCGTCCCCGCTTCAAGGAAGCGGCCCCCCTCGCGCGGCGGGGGGGGGGGGGCGGAGGCCGAGAGCGCCTCGCCGTTAGCGGCCCCGCGGAGAGCCTCGCTGCGTGCGAGGGCGGCCGCCCGGGCGGACCCAGCATGGCGCGGGTGCCGGGCGCCTCCGCAGGCGGCGCGGCGGCAGACCGGACGGGGCCGGCCAGCGGGGAGGCGCCGAGGGCAAGCGCCGGGCAAGGGCCCGCCCGCGGCGCCCCCCACGGCGCCGAGCAGGCCAAAGCCGAAGCCCGCCGCGGCAGCTCCGTCGAGGGCGCCCCGCGCCTTGCCCGGAGGGGCCGGCTGACGCCCGCCCTCTCCCCGCGCGGCCCCCCGACCGGCCTACCTGCGCGGGGTGCATGCGGGGGTCGGCGGCGGCGCGGCGAGGGGAGCTCCGAGCCGGGGGTCGCCCGCTGCCGCTGCTCCGCCGGTGTCGGACGCGCTTCAAGCGCGCTGGAAAGAGAAAGCGGCGGCCGAGCCGAGCCGTTGCGCGCGGCCCCGCCCCGCCCCGCCCCGCCCGGGCGCCGCCTGGGGGCCTCTGCGGGTCTCTGCGACGGGGATGGGAGGCGCGGGGCGGCCCGCCGGGGCTCCGCGAGGGCTCCGGGGAAGACGCGCGCCGCCCGCGCTCGCCCTCCGTCTCAATGCCGCCCCCTCCGTCGGGCGCAGGCGCCCTCCCCCTCGCTGCAAGCTGGCAGCGCGGGGGGCGGCTTGCCGGGGGCTGCGGCCCCCAGAGCACGCCCCCCCCCCCCGCGGCTGCAGGCCCGCCTCGCCCTCTTCTGCGCTTCGAGAGACGGACGGGGAGAGACGAGGCGCAGGGCGCGGCTGGGCTCGGGACGGGGCCGCCTGGGCGGCGCGGGCAGGATGCGGCCGTCGGCCAAGCGTCCCCGGGGCAGAACAGGCGAAGGCTCTGCCCCGAGGGGCTGCCAGCGCTTTAGGCCTGGGACGGGATTCCTGCGCCGATCCGGCGCCCGCGTGGCCAGCCCGGCTCCCCGCGGGCCCCCTGGCGTGCCGTGGCCTGGCCTGGCCTTCGGGGCGCAGCGGAGACGCGCCCTTCCCGAAGGCGCTTTCTGTGCGGTGCGGTCCTAAGCGCCCTCCGTCAATTCCTTGTGTTTTGCACCTCCGAAACGTTGCGTGGAATGACCGCTTGGAGGAGCGCCTTGTCCAGCGCCGCCTGCGGGGGGGGGGGTGCTGCCTCCCTGCCATTTCCTGCGCGTCTGCGTAACCTGTGAATGTTGCTTTGGTTGTACACCCGTTGGACTCTCGGAGCGCTTTTTCCCACTCCTGTCATGACTTTTCACTCTGCTCCGTTTGTTTTCTAAGTGCACAGGTCCCCTTTTGGCCGACTTAACTATTAAAATGTGAAACCAATGGGAAGCCTTGCTAAAAATAAAAACTTTAAAAATAAATGTTGCATTTTAAAGTCTCTGCAAGAGCAGGGCAGAGTCGTACAAGCCCTGCTGAGCTGGCGCTTTTTCGGTGACGCTGAAGAAAAGCTGCGCAGGGCTGCAGGATGCCGCGAGGCCATCTGGAGTGCTGTTATTGCTGTCGCCAGTCGCGAAGTCATGTCCGACCCACCCGACCCCACGGACAACGCTCCTCCAGGCCCTCCTGTCCTCCAGCTTCCCCGGAGTCCACCCAAGCTCACACCAGCTGCCTCAGTGACTCCATCCAGCCCCCTCATCCTGCTCGCTGAAAACGAAGACAAGGGGGCAGCCTGACTTGACATTTGGCTTGTGGGGGGGGGGGCGGGATTTCACAGACAACCGCTGCCCCCAGCCAAGCCCTGCCCCTCATTTATTTAGCAAACTTATGTGCCTCCCCATTCGCCTAAGCCTCGGGGCAGCTTATAAATAAATATCATCAATACAATAAAATACAGATGGAGATATCCTGGCCAAAGTTGTTAAAATCAATAAATAGAATCAACAATTAAAATGACATTTGAATGAAAAAGTCTTGGCCTGGCGCTGAAAAGCAAATAATGACGGTGCCAGGTGGACCTCTCTGGGGAGCGCATTCCACAGTCGGGGCGCCACCGCAGAGAAGGCCCTGCTCCGGGTACTCGCCCTCTTAATGTCCTTTACGGAGGGCTCCCGGAGGAGGGCCTCTGCTGCCGATCTCAAGCGGCGGGAGGGCATGTATGGACGCAGGCGCTCCTTTAGATAAGCAGGTCCCAAGCCGTTGAGGGCTTCATAGGTGAGAACCAGCACCCTCGTTCCCAGCAACGTAACCTCACTTGATGCTGGAACATGCAAGGGGATGCGGAAGGTCGCAGATGACAGGGAAGCCCCCTTCCCCTCGACCCAGCGAGTGCTCCTCCCAGGGGAGGCCTTCTCCGGCTCCGGACAGGAGTGAATCCGGCTTATTCTGTCTCCTCCCGGCTTATTCTGCCTGAGGGCAAGTCCCGCCTGGAGTAAGCGCAGGCCGGATTGTGCCCGGGATGGCACCCCCTGCCCCCGCTGCCCCCATTTCCCAGAAATACACTGAGGCCCACAAGTGGGCCCGAGGCGTGGCAATGTGCTCTCCCCGGGGGATGGGAGGGCCCCCCGAGTCCCGAGGGCATGTGACCGGCCCCACGGTCGGATGCAGCAGTGGGCCCCAGGGCCCCGGGAAGCGCCGTCTCTACGGAAGAGACCCCCCCACACACACCCTGCACATCACGCCCTCCTTCCGCTCCCCAACAGTGGGGCAGAAAGGAGTTGCCTATTTCGCCCAAAGAGCCCGAGACGTGGCGCATCATGGAACGCGTGGGCGCCTGTGGGGCACCGCACACTCCTCCTCGCAGGGCAGGAATGGAATCCCCTGGCCTGGGGGAGCCCCCCCCCGTGGGGGCCCCCCTCTCCTTCACGGGGCACCTCCCAGCTTTTCTGCAGCTGCCTCCCATTCCAAGTCTTGCAACAGGTCTTCCCCGGCCGGCTTCTCTTGCGCTCTGGCTCGACGCCTTTCGCCTTTGCCCCCAACCCCCCCCCCCCCAAACACAGCCCTGAGAATTGCTCTGGGTGCGGCCACTGGGCTGGGAGCGCGAAGGTGGCCCAGGCTGAGCCCCAGTGATAAGGGAGGCGGAGCGATGAGAAACTCCCAGGAGCAAGCACAGTTCCCGCTGATCAAGGCAGGCGCTTCAGCACGTTTTAATTGGGAGAAAGACTTGCAGTACATGATAGTCAACCAAAGCAGAGCTTCTGGCATCCTTTGTGTGGGAAGGTGCATACATATATAACGCGAAAAGTTTCTCTTTGAGACTGTGAGTGGCAGAGGGCCGTTATCTGGCAAAGTAACCCACTTCTGACGCTGGCACACCGAGGCAGAGTCCCCCTGCGGCAGACGAGGGGGCTAGCTCCAGATCAGCCATCTGGCTGCCCCCCCCACCCGCCGTTGCACCGAGCTGCAGCAGAGCCGGGTGGAGAGCATCCGCTGCGCCTTCCTGGGAGGGGGTGGCAAAGGTGGGGGGGGCGGGAGCTCCGGGGAGCCTCCCCCGCCCTCTTTCTGAGACTCCGGAAGGGAGCTGCTTTGAGGAGGGTCTGAAGATGGCCGACGGGGAGGTGCCGGCTGAGCGCTGCCTGCAGCTGCCCGAAGGCGCCGCACAGAGGCTGCAGGAGGAAGGTGAAGCATGCCTGGCCTGGGGGGGGGGGGGGGGGGCTTCGTGCTCGGCAGCAGCGTGCCGCCCGCCAGCCAGGTGCACCCGCGAAAGGCCTGCAGCTGGGGCCTGTCGCTCACCCTGCCACGGCTCACACCTGGCCTGCCCCCGGGGCACGGTGCAGGCACGGATTCGTGGGTTCGGAGAGGGGTCACTTCCCGTGTTTCCGCTGCGCTGCACGGCCAGGCAGCCGCTCCCGCCTCTCTGTGCGGAGGACGGGTCTCGATCTGGCTGCGTCTGTGTGTCTGGACAGACATAAGTGGCAGGAAGCCTGCGGAACAATCACCGGAAAAGGCCGGCGGGCCCTGCCAGCGTGCTCCAGCAGCACGGCCCGAGCATTCCCAGGGCCCCCGCACACCGCCTCCCCGGCCCGGACGCTGGGATGCCTGGCGACCCCGAAGCAGGCCTGCTCTAAGGGGGCCTGGACCCTGTGGAGTAATTTCCGCAAAAAGGAGCAAGCTGGGGGGGGGGGGGTTGTGTGCCTGGGAGGCCCCAGAAGCTGCTGTGTGCGGGTGACGGCGAGGAGGCCGCGAGGGCCTCGCCTGGGCGAGTGGGCCGGCTCTGGCTTCGGCCGCGGGGCAGTGAAGCAGCGCCCCCACCCAGCCAGGGAGCTGTGCCTGCGAGACCCTGGCTTGGGGGGGGCGAGGTCAGATGATGTTGCAGAGTATGAAATGGGGACCCAAGCCGACCCTGGACGCCTCCTGCCGGTCCTCCTGCAACATGTCTTCCGTGTAGTAGGGGGCCCTGGCGTTCTGGGCCACCAGGCCGTCGATCAGGCTCAGCAGCTCGGCCACCTGGTTGACCCGCTCCTGGCCCTCCGCCTTGTTGTTGAAGGCGAGGCAGCGGCCCCCGCACTGGGCGATCTGCCACTGCAGCTCCTGGTCCCCCTCGACCAAGAAATCCTGGAGGGACCGACCCTCCAGGTCCTCCTTCCGGGTGAAGAGCATGATCATGTAGGCCTTCGCCTTGAGGCTGAAGACCTTCTGGATCAGCTGGGCCACGTCCTTCTCCTCCTGGCTGAAGCGGCCCAGCTGGACGACCTGCACGAGGGCGTGGGGGCCCGGGTAGCTGTACTTCACGCAGGTGCTGATCTCCCTGCAGGTCACGTCTTCCGGGACGTTGGTGTCGAAGAAGCCGGGCGTGTCCACCACCACGATCTTCCGTCCGCCGACTTCGGTGTCCCACCTCTCGCACCTCATGGTCACCGAGGAGGGCGACGTGGTGGATTTCAGCTTCTTGATCCCCAGGATGGTGTTTCCCGTGGCACTTTTCCCCGCTCCGGTCTTGCCGATCAGGGCGATCCGCAGCTCGGGTTCTACAAGGAGGGAGGGAGCACGTGGCGGCACCTGCCCTACGCGCGAGGGAAGCCCGGGCCTGGGGCCCCGGGGAGGCCAGGGGGGTCTCGGAGGGCAGGCGCTGGCCAGCCCCATCATGCACAACCCGGGGCTCGGCCCACCCCCCACGGCCCCCACCCCCACATGCAGCGCCCCCCCCGCTGCGCGTATTCCTGCCACGGGGCACTGTGTCGGGGGGGGGCGGCCGTGTGCGTCTGCGGGGTGAGGGTGCGCCTGCTCCGAGTCGCCTGGCAGAAGCATGCGGCCAGCAGCTGAGGGGGGGGCCTCACCTGGACTGCTGCCAGACATGGTCACGCAAGGGCAAAGGGCCACCGGGAAGGGATCCAGACCTGGAGCTGCAGAAGAAGACAAAGCGACGGGGAGCGTTGGCTCACTGGGAAACACGCCAGGGGCTTGACTGGCTGAGGCAGATGCACTGGCCCAGGCGAGCATGCCGGCCCCGGCCCCGGCCCCAGCCCCGGCCCCGGCCCCCACCCGGGCGACCCTGAGGCCCCGTGGGGCTCGCTGGCCGCTTGGCACTTCAGGCACAGGCTGGGCGCTGCTCCCAGGTGGCACTCGGGCCGACGAAGCAAAGTGTGCGGGGTGGGGCAGGGTGGGGCGGGGTGGGGGGAACACTTTTGTTCCAGAAGCCAGGGGAGAGCTTTGCCCCAGGCTGGCGCACTCAGCCCCCCCCCCCCACATCTGTGTGGCGTGTCTTGGAGGGAGCTGCGCTCTGAACCCTCCCTGGGATGCGGCTTCGGTGCCCCGTGCCGGTACGAGCGGTTTAGCAGAAAACGCGTAGTGTCGCGCAGTGGAAACCGAGGAGGAGCTTCTGCTCTGGGTGACTCTGCTGGGGGGGCTGGCCCGCCGCTTGGCTGGGGCGTCTTCTTCCATGCGGTGGGAGGGAAAAAAGCACTTCTGGCATCCCCCCCCCCCGGTGTTTGCATTTCTCTGCCTTTTTCTCTGCGCTGGGAGCTAAGCCTAAAGGGGCAGAGCCGCGCTGTGGTGGATTCGTGACTTTCCACTGGGTTTTTGTAGCAGTTTGAAATGTCATGTCGACATCCCTCGCTCTAAAACCCACACCAGGAAGGCTGGAAGGCACAGGAGGGCCCCACGAGCTTCGGTGAAGGAGTGATCCGAGGGCAGGACACGCTCCTCACCCGGAGAAGCTCTAGCACATGGCCGCCCGGAGCAGCATCGGGCCTCGTCCTCTTCCCGGTTCCTTCCAGCCTGCGGAAGAGCCAGTCCTGTGTGCCCGGAAAGGGCACATCCTGCCATTGACGGAGGGACTGGTTCAAAGAAAGGTATTTCCATTTGCAGCGTTTTCTGACCCCTCAGACGACAGGGGCAGGTCCAGACTTCCTGGCCCCTGGCCCACAAGCCGCCCAGCACCCCGGCTTCGCTTCAAAGGGGCTCAGACTCAACGGCCTGGGAGGCCCCTTCTGCCTCGCCCGTCTCTGTGCTTCAGTCACACGAGCCAGCCAGAGCCGAAAGTTGCTGAGTACTTGAGGGAGTCTTGGAAACTTCAGCGGGTTCAAATGACAGATCTGGACGCCCATAAATTCTGGGAGCATTTGGCCGCTATGCTGATGGGGTAGCCGAAGAAGGTTTCCTGAGGCCCAGCGCCCTGAGGGATTGTGAGCCAGAGGGCCCTGAGTCACACAAAGGGAAGTTTACGGAGGCTTCGCACGAACAGAAAGCCAAGCCAGGCACGCACGCCTGCCACAACACGGAGGGGCCTAGGGCGGAGATGAAGCCCAGATCTGCTCTAGCAAAAGCCAAGGAGACTGGGAGAGCCGTCTTCCTTACAGGGAAGGCACCCGGCTCCTCCCATGACTCCTGTTGCTGGTTCACGGGCTGGGAGGGGACGCAGCCCAGAGGCTGTCCTGGGAGTACAGCTGCGGACGGCGGTGAAGGCATGGCAGAGCCCGCGCTCAGGCAGGCTGAGCGGATTATTTTGTTTTTGTGTATTTCTGCTAGTTTCCTTGAGCATCTCCACCTGGAGAAAGGCACGTTTGCATGCAGATGAGCAGTACATAAATGAGTCGCATTTCTGCCCTGCCTTTGCTCCGAATGGTTCAAGCGCCAAGCGAGCCCCTCCGGCCCGGCCCCACTCCAAGCCGTCCCCAGCCTTGCCTCGAGCCCAGAGCGACCCTTTTCCCTCTCCTGTTCTCTTGTTCGAGAGGAAGGAGGAGAAGAACGCCGAGGTTCCCTGGGGTGGAGGGTTTGCTCCAGAGCCTCGTTCCGGGGGCCTCGTGGCAGGGCCCCTCCCTCTTGGCCAGGCACCCGAGAGGCAGCCCTGCCAGCCTGGGGGCAAGGGGCAGCGGCGCCGCGGGGAGAGCGAGCAGCCGCCTTTCCCGCCCCAGCGCACGTCCCGGCCAAGAGCAGGGGGAGCAGCGACAGCGCCTCGCCGCTGGGCATCCCGGGCCGGGCACACGAGCCCCTGGTCACGGGGCCCCTCCGGGTGGGGCCGCCGAGGGCCTGGGTGCCCGGGGAGGGCGCCCGCCCCCGGGGCGCAAGGAAAGCCCAGCACCCACCTGGCGTCTCCTGGCTGAGCAGGCTCCTCCGAAGCGCAGGGTGCGTCTCCTGGTGCGGTGGAAGAGGAACTGCGGCCCCTGTCCACTTGCCCACGGATAAGAGCCTTGCCCCAGCCGGCACCTCCCCTCCCGCCGAGAGCGATGCAAATACACCTCCGGGAAATCAGCTGTATTCTCAGGGAGCGCTCTGGCTGCGCGCCATAAATCTTTCCAGGAGAGGGAGGGGAGGGGGGAGGAAAGGGCAGGAAGGGGGGCAGAGTCGGAGCCACTCTGTGCAGCCAGCATATTTTCGCCAGCGCTGCCGAGAAAGCAGCTGTCCTCTCAGCAGACGGGAGGCAACGCCTGAGCGGAGAGGAGCGGAGCGGAGAGGAACAGGGCAGTGTCTCTCGAGCGCCGGAGAAGGCGGCCAGACGGTACGGGTCGCCCCCTCGCCCGCCTGGTGCCCAGGACCTCTCGCCCGGGCACGCTCTCGCCGGGGGCCCCAGCCTGCCTGGGGACGGCGGTGGGGCTGCCTTGCTCCCGCGCTGCTTGGCCGGGCAAGAGCTGGGAGTGAAGCCCCGCAAGCCCAGAGGTGCGGCGGCGGTCGCAAGGCTGGCGGGGCGGCCCGGACAGGACAAAGAGCTGCTGGCTGGAGCGCCCAGGGAGGGGGCTTGCTCCCGCTCTGGGGGCGTTTCCTGCCCGCAGCCCCCTCCGCTCTGGGCAGGGGTCCCTCCCCCAGCCCCATCCGGGACTAGGGGCCAGCAGCAGGCCGGAGGGCCTGGATTTCCAGCCAGCTTCGAGGAGTGAGGCAGGAGCACCGGAATCGGCCACTGGGCAGAGAGCAGGATGGGGCAGGGGGTTTGGCAGGGACCCCCGCCTGGTGCTGACAGCCAAGCTCTTCCCCCAGGCAGCTGCCCCTTCCCAGGAGACAGCTTCCTGGCGCTGCCCCCGCGGCCTGCCTCATTCCCCCCCCCCCAGTGGGGCCATGGAGGAAGGCCTCCTGCCCGCAGGTCGTGGCTGCAGAGCCGGAGGTCGCGATCCAGCCCCGGAGTTGCCCTTCCCTGGCCAGCAGCCCTGTGGCGCTTTCCAGGGCTGGGTGCCTCAGCCCCACATCCTCACAGGCGGGAAGGCTTGAATGCCAGGCAGGAGGGGCCTGCTGCGAGACATGGCGGATTCACCCCACCCCCCTGCCTTCAGCCCCTTCCGCTGCTCCTGGCTGAGATGGGGCCGAGCCGCCAGGCAGAAAGGGGCTTGGCCACCTGCCACAAGCTGCCCCCAAGTAACGGGGCTCAGCCAGGGGCTCAGATTCGGGGTGCCCACCGTGCCCCTGAGCAGGTTCAAGGCGTGTGTCAGCGGCCAGGGCAAGGCCGCCTGCCCCCCGGGGGAGCCCCACGTCTGTGGGCAGGACGGAGCCTCTCCCGCTTCCCTGCACCGGGGCTCTCCCTGCGCTTCTGGAGCGTGGCCCGCCAGGCCCCTCCGAGTGCCTGCGTCTGGCGCGCGGATCCGGGCCCTGGGCTCAGAGGCAGGTGCTTGTGCCCCGGGCCTCCCTTGACCCACCTTCCCACGCCAGCGCTGGGACCAGAGACCGGCTGCCCAAACCCCTCATTTTCCGACTCTTTTGCAGTGCTGCGGTTTCTTTCTCGAACACCGGGAGAGACGAAATGTATTCGGGCAGTAATAACGGTAAGGCCCCTCTCCAGATTCTCCCGGAAAGGAAGCCAGGCGGGGGGCTGGCGAGGAGGGCCCTGTGTGGCAGTGGGGGCAGAAGCACAGCCGGGCCGCCGCCGGTCGTGCGGGCAGCTCCGCAGGTGCTGCGCCGGGACTCCCGGGGCTCACGGGAGCCGCAGCCGAAGTGCCCGGAGGACCCCGCCGGCGCGGTGCTTTTCGTTCGCGGCGCCCCCCCCCCCCTCGGAAGAGCTGCGAGCACGGCCCGAGCTGCCGCTGCCTGGGCTCCGCTCCCGGCCGGGGCGCGGGCGGGGGGAGCGGCCGCACGGCCCCGGCGCATCCAGGCAGCGCCCGCTCCGCCGAGCCGAGCCGAGCCGAGCCGAGCCGATGCTGCGGCCGAGGAGACGCCCTCCGGGCAGAAGCCCTTCTGGGGGCGGGCAGCAGCTCTGCTCTGGCGGCGGGCGGAGAGGAGGGGCGCGCCCACGGCAGCCCCCCGCCCCGCCTCCCGTGGCAGGAGCCAGGCGCTTTCCCGAGGCGCCGCTCGCCTCCAGCTCCATCGTGCGCCCCAGCGCGGCCCGAGGGGGCTCTCCTTCCTCGCAGCCGCGCAGCACCTGCCGGCAGCCGGGCGCGTCGCTTCTGCCGCGGTGCCACCCCGCCACCCCGCCGCCGGAAACCAGCCCAGCAGGCGGGGCCGGGAGGGGCAGGAGCCCGGCGAGGCGGTGGGGCCCCTGCCCGAGGGAGCTCTCCTCCGCGCGGCCCCGTGGTCCTCGCCAGGGCAGTCCGTGGGCACCCCGTGCGCCTGGCACCCCGGGGTCTTGCGGCCTTCCAAGGATCGGGGGACGTGGTGCCCTGTCTCAGGACTGCCCGAGGGGACTGTTTGCACAATTCTGCTGTGCACATCACCAGCCGAGGGTCATGTGTGGGGAGGCATAGAAAGGCAGTGAAAGAAATCTGTGGGGCGGGGGACTGCATGCCATCCTGCACAACCTGGGGGCAGAAGCCTCTGCCCCTGATGGGGAAGATGAAGGCCCCCCTGCAGAGGCTGGGCCTTCCCTTCCCTTCCCGAGCCGGGGGCGCTGGAGCCGGCTTGCGCATCCAGACACAGACTTGCAGTGCTTGGAACGGCCGGGGGCCTCGGAGGATGGAAGGTGGAGCTGGGAGGACCCGGCACGAGGTGGAGGGAGATCAAGCTGGCGGTCTGGGGCGAGGCTGGAGCAAGAGGGAGGCGCTGGTCCAAGCATTGCCCGTGTGGGAAGAACGTCCTGGAACCGTGCGGCACCTGATCAGAACACGGCCTTCACCACTTACCGTGGCCGCTGGCAGCTCCCTCAGGCCCCCCAGGCTGGGAACTCCCCCACTGCCTCATTCCCTCTCTGAGGAGGACCCTTTCAAGGCGCACGCAGACGCGCTGCCTCGGCCTGCCCCCTGCCCGCTCTCTCACCTGGCTCTCCTGCAGCTGCATCCAGATGTGCAGTTTCTCTTCCACCCACCTTCGTCAGAATGAGGGAGACGCTGCCTTCGCCGGCGCCTGTGTGCGCGCACGTGAATAGCACACGGTCCGCAGTGCACCTGAAGGGCCGCCCTGCCGCGCGGGAGTGGCTCCCACGCACGATTGCCCAGGGCTGTTTCAGTCTGGGGCGCCTTCTACCCCTGGGGAGCACCATTTCCGGGGCTGGCGAGAAACAGGCAGGCCTCCTTCCGCAGCCCCGGGGGCCGGAGCGGGACCGGCTGCATTTCCAGGGCAGCGTTTCCTACACTTCTGGCCCACACGGGGCTTTCCGGCCTGCCCCCCTTTCCACTGTGCTCTGCTTATATAACAAAGCCAAAGAAGGGCCAGGACTGGGGCGGGGGGGGGGACCGCATTCCCTCCCCAGGGGCAGGAGGGGAGTGGGGAGGCTGCTGGGCCCACTGGCGCCTCCTGATCTCCTGGGCGGTGGGGGGGGGGTCCTGACAGAGAGTCTTTCTCCACTGGGTGACCAGCCAGCTTAGCTCTTAAGGTCCCAGACGCTGTGCTGCGCCGCTTTGTGTCGTTGTCGCGCTGGGCTGCACCAGCCCCCCCCATGCACAGTTCAGAGAGTCTGTGTCCTTGAAAGCCCAGCCCAAAGTGATGGATCTTCCCAATTTTTCTTCCAGACAAGCCAGGCGCTCCCAAAGCACAGGAGAGCAGCATCAGTGTCATCGATAAGGAAGCAGAGCTGCGCATCGTCCTCGTCGGCAAGGCCGGGGCGGGCAAAAGCGCCGCCGGGAACACGCTCCTGGGCGACCGGAGGTTCGAGTCCAGGCTCTCCGCCCAAAAGCCCGTGACCCGGACCTGCAGGCGGGAGGAGCGCGCGGCGCCGTGGGAGGGGAAGCGAGTCGCGGTCATCGACACGCCCGCCCTGCTCGAGGACCGCGTCGCAGAGACGTGGAGGTCCGCGGAGATCCGGAGGTGCTTCGAGCTGTGCCGCCCGGGCCCCCACGCGCTGGTGTTCGTGCTGCAGGCGGGCCGCTTCACCGAGGAAGACCAGGCGGCCGTGCAGAGGGTGGGGGAGGCCTTCGGCCCAGATGCCCCCCGCTACATGGTGCTGCTCTTCACCCGCGCGGAGGACATGGACGCGGGGTGCCCGCAGGAATACGTCCGCTCCTCAGGCAACGAAGCTCTCCAGGACCTGGTTGGGAAGTGCCAGAACCGCTGCTGTGCGTTCGACAACAGGGCAGTGGGAGGGAAAGGCGCCCCCCAGGCTGAGGGGCTTCTGCGTGTGATTGAGCAGATGGTGCGGGAGAATCAGGACAAGCCGTACCTCAAGGAGCCTCCCCGAGGGGGATCCGATGAAGCCCAGATGGACACAGAAGACTCGCCAGGTCAGTATGAGAAGAGGCGCCCCAAAGCGAAAGCACAGGGGAGGAGAACGGGAGGTGGTCCCTGCAGGTGGGACCTGGTCCAGGTCTCCCAGGGAAGCTTCGCCTGCCACCTGCCAACTCAGGGTCCCCCCCGTTCCCCCGGAAGGCTGCCAAGCTGCATCCGCGTGCTCGGTTCAGAATGAAGTCCGTAACTTGCTCGGGTGTAGATCCCATTGCATTTGGGAGGCTCCAGCAGTTATAGGCGGCCCATAAATACATGGAAATCAATCAATCAATCAGTCAATCAATTTTGTATAGTGAATAGGTGCGGACTCTTCCTTTCTACCCCACACACTTGTGCACAAAGAGCTCAAGGCAGCTTGCACGGCCTTCCTCCTCCTCCTCCTCTCTGTTGTATCCTCACAGCCACCCTGCGAGGCAGGCCAGGCCGAGAGTCTGTGGCTGGCCCAAAGGCACCCGGTGAGGGAGGTGAGGGTCCGGGTCCCGGCTCTCGCCCCCATGCCTCCGCCCGTTTCCCCCGCGCGCACGTTCTGCTCCTCACAGTGGGAGCGAAGGGGAAGGAACGGGGCATTTGCACGGGGGCTCGTCCGGACGGGCCTGGCCAGAGCAGGCCCCTCACGCAGACCCTGGCAGCGGGCTCTGGCCAGGGGCCCCGGGGGCCCGCAGGGAGGTGGGCCCCGTGAGGGCTGTTCCGCCCACCTGCCGCCGGCTATCAGGGCCTCCCGCTCGGGCGCCCGCTGGGTTTGGCCACAGTGCGGTGCCGCTTATCGCCGCTCACGCTGGACCCTGTTGCACTGCCGGGTTGGCACCTTCACACAAGGGCCCCGCACCAATTTGCACTTGCCCACTTGTGCGAAGGACGGACGCGCGGCAGCAGGAGGCGACCCCCCCCCCAGGCACTCGCACGGCCGGGACCGGGACCGGGACGTGGCCGCGGGAGAGCGGGCAGAGGCGGGCAGCGGCCAAGGCCTGGGCAGGGCAGGACCCAGCGCTGCGCTAGCGGGGCAGTCCGGCCATGGGCGAGCCGAGGCTTGGGGGCCGGAGGACAAAGAGGGGCCGGTGCCCCGCGTTAGCGCAGCCTGGCAGGAGGCGCGCCAGGTCGGGCAGCCATGGGGGCTGGGCCCTGCACACGGAGAGCCCCGCGGTGCTGGGGCGGCACGGCAAGGCGAGGCGAGGCGAGGCAGGAGGCGGGCCGGGCCAGGGGCAGGCGCAGATGCAACCGGGGGAGCTGCACTGCTGAGCCCCTTCTGCAGGGAGGCCTTGTCTTGCGTCGCTGGGCTGAGAGCCGGCGCCCTGCAGGGGCTCAGTGCTCCAGCACGGCACCAGAGGACGGTGTTCCGGTCGTGGGTGCCGGAGCAGCCCGCTTCCCGACACTCCTGCCCTTCTGTAGTGTCTGTGCAGCCGCGTCTCTGGTTTCCTCACCGGGAATCAGCTTGTGCTCCAGGGCTGCAGTGCAACGAAGGCAGAAAAGCCGCTCTGAGTGGGATGGAGGTGCCAGCCAGGGCTGGGCCCGACGGCCTTCATGGCCCTTCCAATGCCACGATTCTGCGGTTCTTTGAACCCGGGTCCGCCGCCATCGCAGTCACCTTGGGGAGCCTACCCCCGTGCTGACCAGCTTGGCCGGCTTTCACTCCTAAGCACCAGGTGGGACATGAGGTGGGCTTGTGGGAGGAGCAGCCAGAGGAGGAAAGGCGCCAGGGTGTTGTGTGACCCCTCAGGAGGACAAAACGCGAGTGCTGTTCCAGCGGTGCTAAGCAGGGCCGGTTTCCACCCAGCAGAGCCCGGAAACATCCGCCACATCCGTGAGGATTCGGACATACTCATTGTGCTCGTTGGGAAGACCGGAGGAGGGAAAAGTGCCACGGGCAACACCATTCTGGGCGAAAAGAAGTTCGAGTCGAAACTCTCCCAAATTCCGGTGACCCAAACCTGCCAGAGAGAAGCCCGGGTGGAGCCGTGGAAGGGGAAGCGGCTGGCTGTGCTCGACACCCCGGCCATCTTCGACGCCAGCACGGCACCTCAGCATGCCCGGGAGGCGGAGAAGTGCCGCTCCCTGCTGGGGGGCGGCCGCCACGTGCTGGTGTTTGTCACGCAGGTGGGCCGATTCACCAGGGAAGACCAGGTGGCCGTGCAGGGGGTGGAGAAGCTCTTCGGCCAGGAAGCCGCCAAGAAGATGGTCGTCCTGTTCACGCGCAAGGAGGACCTCGACGCGGACAGCCTGCTGGGGCACGTGGAGCGGTCGGGCAACCAAGCCCTCCAGGAGCTCGCCCGGAAGTGCGGGGGCCGCTGCTGCGCGTTCAACAACAGGGCGACGGGCAAGGAGAGCGCCGCGCAGGTGGAGGAGCTGCTCTCCGTGGTGGAGCAGGTGGTGCGGGAGCAGCTGCCTCTGGGGAAGCCCCCGGAGGAAGCAGCAGCCGGAGAGCCGCAGGAAGACAGGCTGCGAGAAAGGGGGCCCGGAGGAAGCGGGCAGAAGGGTCCGGAGGGCGCGGAGAGCCCCGAGGAAGGAGGTACGGTGCAGGCGGATCCGCGCGTCGAGCCCCGGGTGGGTGGCTTGCGGTGCTCAGGCCAAGTGGGTGGGCGGGCAGCTCCTCCCCCCCCCCCGGGGTCCTCACTGGGCGCAAGATGCCTTTCTGCTTTCCTTTGATGGGGGAGGCCTTGCCCGATGCCGGGGCCCTTTGCCCCTGCCCCCTGCCGTGAGAGGCCCCGCGGGGTCAGGCCCCCCCGCAGTCCCGCTCCAGGTGCAGAGGATGGCGGCTCTGGCTGCCAGGGCCGGGGCAGGGAGCTGTGGGCCCCAGGGCCAGGTTGTGGGGCCATGGCCAGCCTGGGGAGGCAGGGGCAGGTCCCGGGAGGCCAGGCGGCCGTCTTCCGGCGGTTTGGCACAGGCAGAAGCAGCCCTTCCGTGAGCTTCCGGATCCCCCGTCCCGGCTGGTGGCTGGCACTGCAGCCATCGTCCGTGTGCGGCTGCAGGGAAGGGAGCCTCGGGCCATGTCTGGCACTACCTGAGACCCACGGGAGATACTGGGGTGCAAGTTGGCTCTAGAGTAAGCGCAGGGAAGCCAACCCGGATCAGGTCCCTAGAGTGGGAAGGGCTGGGGGATCAGGGCTCCCCCCGTGCACCCCGCAGCCTCATGCAGAGCGGGACACTTGCCCCAATCATGAGTCACATGCTTCGGCGGCCCCCTTGGCTGCCTCCCAGGCGGGAACGTTTTCTGGAACAGAGCCAGGCCTGCCGCGCTCCCAGGAGGCTGCCCTGCGCTCCGAATTCCAGGCATGCGGCGCCACAGAGCGCATGGGAAGGAAAGCGTCCCCTTGGTGGGCCGCCCGGTCTGGTCTTCGCACAGCTCTGCCCTGCCCCGCCGGCCCTCCAGCGAGCCATTGTTAGGAGGGGGCCATTTGCAGGAGCGTCCCGGGTGCCCGCCCGCCAGCCCCCTTGCCCCCACCCTGCGGGGGGCTTCGTTCCGGATCTCCCTCCCCCGCCTTCCTGTGGGCAAGTCCATCAGGGCTGCTTCTCCCACATTCAGGGGTCAGAGGCTCACGCTCGCCCCCGCCTGAGCATCAAACGCATCTCCAAAGCTGGTGGAGATGAAATCCTCCTGCCTGCGCAGCGGCCACACTCTTCTGGGGGACCCTGAGACGGTGGGGAATTCTTCCCAAGATCTCGCTAGAACGAGACCCAGACCCACACGCCCTTGCAGCCCACCCCCCAGGCCTGCCAGCCCCCGATTCTGCCCTGGGGCGCTGACCGCAGGAGCTCTCTCTGCCTCTCCTTTGCAGGGGGGCCGGACCCTGACGCGCTTCCAAGGAAGATGCAAAAGATGGGGGTCGAGGGGGGGCCGAGGGAGACCTCCCTGTGAACGGAGCGGCCATGGCAGGCGGCAGATCGCTCAGCTGCCTGTACCCACCGAGCTACTGCACCCCCTGCGCACGCTTGGACCCCTGCGGCCCGTCCCTCTGCAGAGCAGCGCAGCGGGCAATGGGGCGCCCCCCACCCGGGCGGCCTGCAGGAGGCACCACCCCGGGAGCCCAGCCCAGTCAGGGCTCAGACCCGGCTCCAGCCGAGGCCTTCGCGAGGGAGCCTGGCTGGCTGGCGACCCTTCCAACTTTGTCAGACGGCGCCTGGCAGCCCCTCACCCGCCCGTCCAGACCTTGCTTGATCCCTGGCGCTGCTTGATTAAAGCACTCTCCACGCTCCGGGTGTCCGCGCTCGGTGAAGGGGGCTGGGCACGGGCGGCACACGGCACGGCGGGAAGCCTTCCGGAGGGCCCGCTGCCCTCCAGGGGACAGAGGGAGACGGGCCGGGGGGCCCGGGTGCAGAGCCAAGCGGTGCCCGCCAGCAAGGGGAGGTGCTGCTCCGTCCGCAGAGCTCCTCCATGCACAGGGAAAGGGCTCCGGATCGTGTCCGTGCTCGCGGGGGCCTTTGGAAGGCGGTGGAGCCGCTCTGCAGATCTTCCCTTCCTAGCCGCAGCTGTGCAGCCGCTCCAGCCACATGTCTCCGGGGGGGCCGCGGGGGGAAGCTGAGCCGCCAGGGGTCAGGCAGGGCTTTCAGACCGGGCCAGACGCCTGAAAGGCCATGCCCCGTGGGGACGGCCAGGCCCAGGGCCCCAGGAGAGAGCCCCTGCGGAGTCCCCAGCACTCCCTGGCGGAGGCCCGGCTGGCGGGGATCAGAGGCATGGCCTCCATGGCGCTGGCCCCTCGTCTCTGGAACGCCTCCCGAGGAGACCTTGCGGGCCGGGGCTGTTCCCGGCCTTCCCAGCCCTCCCGCTGCCTTTGAGGGCCGCGATGTGCAGCCGGCGCTTGGTGCCAGGGCTTCCCGGCGGGGGAAAGCGGGCGCGGGAAGAGCCGCGGGCATCGGGCCAGCTGGCCGGACTGGTGCCGGTGTGGTCGCGCCCCCAGCACACGCAGTCAGGCGAAGCCCAGGAGGTCTGGTGCTTCCAGGGCACGGGAGGCGAGCCATGACACCGGCGGCCGCCAAGGCTTCTGACAGCAAACCCAGCACGGCAGGGGAGGGTGAGGAATGTCAGCTGGTTTGTTTATTTGTCTGTCCGGAGGGTTTAGCAATACAAAGTGTAAAGCAGCTCACAGTTGCCTCTCCTGGTACAGTAAGCCCGACCCCACGAACTTGGGACAACTTGTCCCTCTGGCAAAATGCAGAACCCCCCACTGCCCCCCCGCATTTCCCCTGCGTTTGGGTTTTGCATAACTGTACACAATATTTGCATTTAAGGAAGAAAAAACACTACAAAATAGCAAAGCTGAAGCTCAGCCAAATGTTGCCTTTGGTGTTGCGTATTTGCTCTCTGCAGAAGCTTCTCGGCCATGGGGGGGGCGGGTAGGGGCACGGGCCCTGGGGCAAAATGCCCGGAAGAATTCAAGCGGCCAAGCCTGGCAGCCCCTCCTCCTGGGGCGTCCCTGCCCCACGAGGGCGATAGCCCAGCCATGGGCCTGGCTCCGGCCCCCCAGGTGGGCTATCGCTTTCTTCCCTGCTTCATGCGGTCGTTCCCTCTGGTCCCCCTCTGGAAATATCGGCGTCCGTTTGACTCCCACACCCACAACTGGAAGCAGTCCCGGCCCATCCTGGGGCGCAGGGCTCCCCGAGAGGCCAGTCCCGTGAGGGGAGGAAGGAGGACCAGCCAGGAGCCGAGGGCTCCCCAGCCGAGGCCGCAGCCCTGAGTCCCCAAGCGCGGACAGGGCCACTTGGGGGGCCCTCCCTCGCGGTTGCCACAACCCAGAGGCAGCTCGTCACACGGAGGAGCAACAGCCACCATTTGAGCGCCTCCTCAGGGTCGTATGCCAGGTCTCCCGAACGGTGTTCATTCACCTCACTTACGAAAGCACGCGAAACACGGCAAGACACGTGCCCCGGCCCCTTCCTGGAACGCCCGTTGGCCAGCACAGGCGGCTCCAGCCCCCCGCCCCAACCGTCTAATCTCGGTCTCAGATTCCTCACCGCTCAGACCCCGTCTGGAATTCTGTGTCCAGATTTAGGAAAGATGCAGAAAAACTAGAAAGGGTCCAGCGGAGGGCAACAAAAACGATCCAGAGCTTGGAAACGCTGCCCTGTGAGGAGAGACTGGGAGAACTGGGCATGTTCAGCCTTGGGAAGAGTAGACTGAGGGGGGACATGATATCCCTCTAGAAGGACCTCAAAGGCTGTCACAAAGAGGAAGGCCAAGCTCTCTTCTTGCTGATGCCCCAGTGCAGGACACGGAATAACCAGTTCAAGTTGCGACAACCCAGATTCGGGCTGGACATCAGGAAGAGCTTCCTCACGGCCAGAGCAATACGGCAGTGAGACCAGCCGCCTGGAGAGGTGGGGGGCCCTCCCACCCTGGGGAGATTCAAGGTGGAATTGGACAGCCACCTGGGTGGGATGGTGTGAACTGGTGTCCTGCCGCAGCAGGGGGTGGACCTGATGGCCTTCTGGGCCTTTCCAGCTCTACTGCTCTATGGTACTACGATTCTGCGATCAGAGGTAGCACAATCTACATCACTAACGCGGGAAGCAGGGGGCCGGCTCTTCTGCTCACACTGAGGATACCTCCTACGGGTGCGAACTACTGCTGGAAAGCTGGATGCGCTGGCGTCCCCCCAGCGGGCAGTGGGGGCGGCTCAGGTGCAGCTGGTCCTGGGCACTGGGGCGCAAGCCTGCATGGAGACGCCCCTCCGTTCCGCTGCAGCGCTTCCACCCCTCCGGGCGCTGCAGGATACGGGGGGGGGGCGGGGGGGCTCTGCCTCTGAAGTCAGAGGGTGTCTGGCGAGAGGCCGGCCGTGAGAAGGAGTCCACACAGAAGCAGCAGCGATGCTGGGCTGGACGACGACTGGCTCGGGCCTGCAGCTGTGGAGACAGGCGGAGAAGAAACGCCCGCCGTGAGAGTCTGGCGAGACGGAGCCCCTGCGGCCGGGCGCTTTCGGCTCCCCGGAGCACCTCACTTGGCTCTCGGGCGCTCCTCTGCCAAGGCCGGGAGGACTTCCCCCCGTTTTGGTCTTCCCTCTTTCCAGAGCAGCAGCCGAGAGTCGTGCGGGACCGTCCGACGAAGGAGGCCGAAGGGCCCAGGTGACCCACACGGCCGCCGGACGGGCAGCGCCAGGAGGGCCCCCAGAGAGGCAGCCCAGCGGCTCGGCTGGCGGAGTGGGGCCAGGCAGGGCCCCAGTGTCGAGGGGGCTTGGAGGAGGCCCCTCCGCCTCACAAGCTCAGCCACGGGCACAGCTCTGGGGCCATGGGCCGCTGGAGAGGCATGGACGCTCCTCCAGGAGTGGATCAACCAGGCACCCACACTGGCCGTGCAGGGGGGGCAGCCCGAGGGGGGCCTTCAGGACACCACCCTGATGTCACCCAGGTGCCCCTTCCAGCGTTTCACGAGCCACGCTGGCGTGGCGCTTCTGCCAGGCCAAGTCGGATTTCGCAGGCCAGAGCCAGCCCCTTGAGTTGGGCCCGAAGCGTCCAGGCAGCCCATGGAGGTGGGCCAGATGTGACCCGAACATCTGGCTCCTGTCATTATTCTGGCCCCTGCAATTCACACACGCTGCAGCTTGCAAGCAGTCTGCAAGGGCCGACCCACATGCAGCCCACTGCAGCAGTCTAGCCCAGAGCCCACCAGCGGGGGCCTGCCGAGGCCGGACACCGCACCGCTCAGCCCCCAGCCGGAAAGCGAGGGGGCCGGCTCGGCTCGCTCTCCCGCTCTCGCGTTCGGCACTGGGAGAAATTTGGGGAGGGGGAGTTCTTACTTTGCAAGAGGAGCTGCGCGACGTGCTACGTGGTCCCCCCCGCTCCCGGGCAGGGCGTGCCGCCCCCCGTGCTGCAGGCGTGGGGGGCACTTGAGGGGCCCTGCCTGGCCCCCTCCGAGGCGCGAGTGGCCGTCGCCGCAGCCTCTGGCCTGGAAGCAGGCAGGGAGGCCCCGAGAGGGGCTGGCAGGAGCCCTGAACGGCCCCCGGGAGCGATGACGGCCGCCCCCGCCCCACTGCAGGCCCCTCCCCGGGCTGCGCCCTCCACCACCTGCAACAGAGCCCACGGGAGGCCACGCAGCCACCGATGGCTGAGGACAGATCCAGCCCCTGCGGCTTCCTCGGGAGCAGCGCTGCGGGGGGGGGGGGCAATGCGGGCCACCTGGCGCGCCGGACCCTTCGCCATCCAAGCCAGTGCTGCTGACACAGGCCGGCAGCCACAGCTCTGCAGGGCTCCCTCTCCGCCCTGCCAGGACGGGTGGCCAGGACCGGACTGGTGGGGCACCCCCCCCTCAGCTAGGGCACTGCAGGTGCCTCCAGGCAGGCCAGCCCCACTGCAGCGGGGAGGGGGCGACCCCCAGGGCCATAGCCCACTCACGGGGACTCCCCTGCGGTGGAGCTGCTCCGAGGAGGGCGCTTCTCGCCCAGATCTGGCTGCGTGGGGGGGGGGGCACGTTGCCCGTGTGGCCTCCCCTCATGGCTCGGACGTGGCTCGTCTGATGCTCGGGCTCAGCGGCAGCCCCCGGCCCCGCTGCTCCTGCTTCCCCCAAGGATTGTGGGGCGGGGAAGAACCGTCTTCTGCCTGCACTGCTGGGCACTTGTGTGCCCCCCCCCCACAAAGGGGCCGCTGATGCTGAGGACTGGGCCGAGCAGAAGAGGACACCCGGGGAGGCTCGGACGGATGGCGTCCTGCGGGGTTCATCCCGGCCCAAGCTGGGGCCGCCGCTAGTCCCTCCTTGTGGGAGCGGCCAGTGGCCCGGGGAAGGGACCCGCTGCTGCTGCTGCTGCGGCACCTCGGGGCTCCCTGCAGCCTCCCCTCGTCTTCCCCCAGCCGTGTGTGCGCATGCGCGTGCACCTCAGGCCTGGGGAGCCCTCCCCCGGGTGTCAACAGCTACTCGCGGCCTGCAGTTCACCTTGCCACGGAGGCGGCCACCCTCCCTGCCACGGCAGGGCCCGGAGGGGGCTGGGGCAGCCCCAGCGGGGGTCAGCGCTCACAAAGCCCCTGCCCAGCTGATCCCCCCCGCCCCAACCCGCTGGAACTTTCCATCCGCATCGGCCGCAGCGAATGGCTGCCTGGCATCGACCGGGTCGGTGGACTAATCGCCTGGTCAGGGTCCAATCGCCCTGGGCGCGCGGGTCCCGCTGGTCACGGGCTCAGCTGGGACGTGTGTGCCCACCACGCGCCACATCACCGCGTGCCGGTGGCCGGCTCTCACCGTTCTTGCGGCCACAGTTGAAGCTGCTGTAGGAGCCGTCGGACTCGAGCTCGATGGAGATCTTGTCATTCTCCTGTTTAGCCCGCACAACCCTGAACCTCTCGTAGGGCGGGATCAGGACTTCATCTTCCCCCAGGTAGAAGGACAGGTCCCTAATCCGGACCCCAAAGCAGGTCCTGATGGTGAAGAAGGTGGCCTTCCCAAATGTCTGCGCAACCCCCTCCTTCAGCGACGAGGACGCAAACTGCCCGAAGCGGACCTGCTTCTTGGCGTCGGCACCCTGGAAATGCACGTTTTCCGTGCCGCGATACGTCGTGTAGCAGTCGCTCCCCTGGGCCCCCAGGATCTGCACTGCTCGTGTCAGGAGAAAGTGGAACCTCTTGAAAGGGAAGTGCTTCTGGTAGTCCTCGCTCGATTTCCCAGCGGCTCTTGTGGCTGCATTGAAGTCTCTGTACAGGCTCCCCCTGGACGTGTAAGCCAGCACCGCCGTGCCGTGCTCTGCCTGGAAGCCGCTGGGCAGGTCCCTGAGAGAGGCCTTCCTCTCCTCCCACTCGGAGGTTGCCCGTTGCCAGGTGCTTTCGAAGTCTTTGGAGGCCGTGAAGTTCAGCGGGGTTGGGGCCTCCCAGTTCGCCTTCACCTTCGCGTCACAGTCCTTGTACTGGTCATCAAAAGCCTCCAGGGACATGTCAAGCAAAACATTTTCGAAGCAAGAGACCTGCGGGGGAGAGGGGACACGGGCAAGGGGCGGCCAGCGGAGCCTCGCTGGGTGGCTGCCCGCCGAGCTGCGTCCAAGCCCTGTGAGACCCGTCCCTCGGGAGGCCCCCCCCTCTGCCTGCGTGCCGCCCCTTCTCGGACAGTGGGCCAAGCGGAGGGGAAGCCCGCGGGTGTCCAGGGAACGCAGGCTGTGTGGCCGGCAACCTTCTTCCAAGCCATGTGCAGCAACGCCCGCGGAGGCTGATGCACCCGCTGCAGAAGAGGAGCGTCCCTGCAGAGCGGGCGCAAGGGGCCCGATTCCTGGCAGGCGCTGTGCAAATGCTGGGCGGGCCCCCCGGGAGCTCAGACCCTGGCCGAGTCAGCCCGGGTGGGGGTCCGGGGCGAAGGAGAGCCCAGGCTCCTCACACGTCCCCAGGCACCGGGCGGGATCCAGCGTGAGCGGTGACGCTTCCCCCGGACGCCTGGCAGCCACCCCGGCCTGGCGCGGCCTTGGGCGCATCGTCCCTGCAAAGCTGGACATCAGCCGCTCGGTGACGGAAGCCCCCTGGCCTGCCTGTCATGCCCACAGTGCCCCATCCTGCCCCACAGTCGACCTGGTGCAGCCAGCTTTGGGGCGGAGGAGCTGCTGCGGCCCCCAACTCTCCCTCTGGCCAAAAGGGGACCGGAGAGGACACTGGCTGACTGGGCAAACCGGGGGGCGAGGTGCGGCCGGCAGGCCTCCCCACACGCCCTGGGAGAAGGCAGGCCCGAGCAGAGAGGGCGCCCGAAGGGGCTCCGCGGCCACTGCCCAAGCCCCCACTCCTGGGCCCCTCAGGGCACCCTGGGAAGGGGCGCTCAGGGCTCTCCGCTGTTTCTGCAGGTGCCGCAGGAATGGGGGCTGCCCCGGCTCAGTTCTCCCACCCACATTTTCCCACCGCACAAAGTTCCCAGCAAGAGCGTGGGAAGCCGGCAACCCTGGGCAGGAGGGTGGATTGGGGGTGGGGGGCGAGGAACCCGGGTTCCTGGGCAGCTGGTTGCTCAGCGACCGAAGCTTCTGAGACGAGAGCCCACCTTTTGCAGAGACGTGCTGAATACTGATTTTCTAAAGAAAGCTCTTTTTAGGGGGGTCCGGGTGCTTCGTCATAACCTTAAAGTGAGGACTGTTCTTTAAAAGTGCGTGTAGATGCCAGGGAAACGTACAGTTTGACGTAGGCTCCTCTAAGTTTGTTCTGAGTGCCACAGACACCTGCAGAATTTGGCTTCCTCCTCTGGATTTCTCACTACCAGATCTTGTTCAAGGACAGGCTGGACATGCGCATGGCGGGCACCTCATGAGCGGAGCCGGCTGGAGCCGGGGTCAGACTAGATGGCCCGGGAGACCCCTTCTGACTCGTTCTCTTTCTGAGTTTCTGTGTTTGATGCCCGTGTTCATGTGCTGATCGAGAAGCAAGTTGCTTTCCTGCTGTCAAACTGCTTTAGGCAGAAGAAGAGGGGAAGACCAGTCTGGGAAGGATTTGCTCCATCAAGGAAGGGCAGTGAGCCGGGCCGTGAAGGACAGGTCGCCGTGGGTGCCCTCCTTCACCGGCGCACCGCAGCTGGAGATGACCTGGGACCAGGTGGGAAGAGCGGAGTGTTTCCCTGTGGACTCGAGTCCCCTGCTTTCCCTCTGGGCTCCCGTCATACCTGGCAGCCTCCTGTGAAGAGCCCCATCCACGGCAGCGCCAGGACAATCCGGAGAGACCAGGTCCTCATGGCCGCACCTGACGAAGACACCACAAGCGCAAACGGGCCCTTCGCATGCGCTCCCTGCGTGAAGCACGGTCAGGCCTTCCCTGCCGGGAACTGGGACCGAACGGGCTGCAGCTGCAACGCCCCGCCCGACCCTGCAGAGCGACACCTGAGGGCGCACTCCCACAGGTCCCCACAGCGCGCGCGCGATTGCGCCCCCTCCGGGATGCTGCCCTGACCACGGCGAAGGGTCTGAGAGCACCTGAGACGCCGAGGGCCGCGCGAGAGGAGGGCGAGCCCGTGCACCAGGCTGGACTCCCAGCAAGGCCACCCAGCCAGAAAAGTGGAGGCGGAGACCCCAGGCTGAGAGGCCCCCTGCAGGAGGACAGGCCAAGCAGCGGAGGGGCAGGCACACCCTGCCGGTGAGGGACCGGGAAGAGGCCAAGGGGCCGCCATGGGGCAGCCGCCATCCCCGACGGAGACCCCGGTGGAGGGTCTATTGCAGACAGCGGCAGTGACGCTCACGCTCGCTCTGGTTACGGAAGAAAGCGATGGCCAGCACCTTCTGCATTTTCTTACCTTGAAACTACGAAGATGAAGCAATCGAGAATGAAACAGGCGAGAAGGCCTCCGGGTCAAAGGCGCTCCGAAAGCTCCTGGGGAAAAGCAAAAGAGAAGGACAGACGGCGCCGTCTCTCATGAAGCCACCAGATCGAAGCCCGATTGACTCGATGCGGAGCCAGAAGCGTGGACAGGAAGCCACTGTGAGGACAGAATGTGGCTCCCCAGGGGCCAAGGTGTCTGGCAAGGGTGTGCTCGGCCTCCCGCGCTCCCCTTCGAGCTGCATGCAGAACACACAAATCACAGGGAATCAGGATTCGGATCGGAGAATCCGAAGGAGCGCGTGCTTCCCCCCGTGCGTGGCTTGTGCGTGCTGTGATCAAAACAGCGCACAACGCAGCGGCGGCACTAAGAGGCCTGCACAATCTCAGAAAGGGTTTTGTGAACGGGGACAGATTTGCGTTGCTTTCCCCGCTCTTTGTTGCTTCTGGCCAACCTCGCAGGGGTGGCCCTAGGCCAGAACCTGGCCAGAATTTAGGTGCAGGAGCTGGGGAGTTGTCAGAAGGAAAGCCATGTAAGACTTCTGCTTCCAGTGCTGACCTGCTGGTCATCCCACGTGAGCGGGATGCGAAAGGGGGAATAAAGCAGAATCGGGTGCCGGGGCGGATCTGGCTGGGGAGGAGAAGCGAAGCGACTTCACGCCCTGCAGAGCCAGCCCCCTGGTGCCGCAACTGCCGCGGGCACAGCGCAGCGTGGCGGAAGCTGGGGCCCGGCTCCTGACCGTGCACAGGCGGACCGGGAATGCGCTGGAAGCGACTGGCCCCGGAGAAGCTCCTGGGGCCAAGGCGGGCCGGCTGATCAACAGCGACCTTCTGGAGGGAGGCGGAGGAGGCGGCGAGGTCCCCGCTGGGCACCAGGCAGGAGGTGGATGGACTCCGTGGAGGAAGCCGCATCCTTGAACTTAGGAGGCCCGGGCAGGACATTTCCGAGGGCTCGCCGAAGTCAGAGGTGCCCTGACGGCACAGGACGCCGACGCCGACGCCGCCACCATGGTGGGCAGAATTAGGAGAGGAATCAAAAGTAAACCTGCCAAGCTCCCACCCCATTGTGCTCTGGGTGAGCACGCTTGACTCTGGTTCCCTGTCCCATGAGATCCTTCCAAGCAGACCAGGACAAAAGGTGTCCTAACTCAGGGTGTTATGATCTTAAAGTTGGTGCTTTGTGTTAAAAAAACGGGTTCCGCAGAAGTGAATAACAAAAGACGCAGGTCGGGCTGGAATTCTCTGCTTTAGCGGAAGTGGCTGCAGCAAAAGAAGCCGCCCCCTGCAGGGCCTCCGTCTTTTTTCCAAAGCAAGAAGAACCGACTCCGCTGCCAAGGTGGGTCCTGCTGCCGGTTGGTGGAAGCTCGCTGCCCCTTAATCTGATGCCATATAAAAGGAGTAGCGATGTGAAGCCTGCTTGGAATGGGTGCCAGCTGTGCAGCCCCCCCCCCCCCCGCAAGCCAGACGCGGCCTGGTCATCTCTCTGGGCACTTGGACCTCGGCGGTTCGGGCAGGAAGCCCAACCCCACCCCTCCTTCCAGCTCTTATTTGGAAACTGTGGTGGGAGCATCTGCGGCTCGTGTGCCCGGGGCGCTCAGCCTCCATTTCCTGTGTGGATTGTGGCCGGGACAGGAAAAGGCTCTTGGGCTGCCTGTGGCCACCAGCCCTGACCCTCCCTCTGCACCTGCGAGTCGGAAGCCCGCCGGTCTGGGTTTGGTGCTCCAGCGCAGAGCGGCCCTGCAGGCCGAGCACCGCTCTCGCTCCCGTGTCTCGCTGTGCGATCTCCTCTTTCCCTGCTCATGCGCAGAGAGCCACAGCCGTGCAGGCTGCTCCTGGGGTTGGTTTGCCTCACAGTCTCTCTGGGCTCAGCAGGCAGTGTGCTGAGGAGCCGCGTGTCGTGAGCGGAGCCGGCTGGAGCCGGGGTCAGACTAGATGGCCTGGGAGGCCCCTTCTGAGTCGCTCAGTTCTGTGTGGGCACCCGTTTCAGAAATGATGCTCTAATTGTCTTTTAAGAAGAAGGATGCAGCCAGGGAAGTGCCTTAAAGAGCTCGATTTTCTTAGAAATTATTTCAAAAGAGGGAAAAACCTGCAAATGATAAGGCTTATTTCAGTGACCGCATGGCCGCAGTGGTCACTTTATGCTCGGATACTTGCAGGCGCCCGTCCGCTCAGGGGCAGCGGCAGCGTGCGGGCTCCCCCGCTGTGCCCCTTCGTGCGCAGCTTTGGCACAGCCCCTTGGCCCCTTTTTACGCAGCTGCGGAGCGCCCCGAGCGCCCCTTGGCCACGCGCGGCCCCAGCCCTGCCTGGCTTAGGGCCAACGGTGCCCCATCGCCACGCAGACGGACCCCAGCCAGGCTCGGCTTTCCCCCAGGCCTTCTTCCGTCCTTCTGCATCTCGTGGCTCCGTTTCTCCGGGATGCCCCCCCCTTCTCCATGGCGTGGGGCATCCACAGCCACTGGGCCAAGTGGGTGAGTCTCCACGGAGGCACCACACCGCCCCCCGCCCCCCCCGTGCCTATGACTGCATCCCCATTGCCACGTCCAGAGCGTAGTGCGAGACCCTCCAGGGATCGGTCCCTCCAACGAGGTCAGTTCCCTCTGTCTCAGATGGGTGCCTTCCTGCCGCAGACCCTCCTCCCCCACGAGGCCGGAGAAGCCGCCGGGGTGGGGCCCGCTGTGGGGCAGGAGAAGCCCCCAGTTGGAGCCCCTCGGCCGACTCCGAGCAGGGCAGGGGGCCCCCCCGATCTGCCCCATTCTGAAGCCGTGGGCGGGGGCAGGGCAAAGCGGCACGCAGGCAGGAGGCCTGCCCTCGTGCGTGGCCGGGTGCCTCTCGGCCTCTGCGGGGGTCTGCCCTGGCCCCCCGGGGCCCAATTCTTTCCCGGGGGCCAGGGGCTGGCGGGAGGGAGGGAGGGAGGGTCGTGCCCGCGCTGCCACCCGAGTGCGGCGCTGCGGGATTCCTGCAGGCCGCAGCCCCTCGGGGCCGGTTTTACATCTTGAACATGCAGTCCCTCCTCGCGAGGTGACCTTTTGCGCTCACTGTGGGGAGAGGACGGGGCGCCACTCCCCCACCATGGGGGACAGTGGAAGACCCACAAGTCCAGACTTGCCTGGTGCCTTCTCTCCCCCCCCCCGACTCCCCCCCGGCTGCCCCCTCCCACTCCCCACCCGCAGCAGCAGCAGCAGCCCCTGTGGAGCACAGCACAGCAGGCCCCTCTGTGCCCCTCGTCTGCCTCCGCGCAGGATTAGGACACACTTCCCTTGGGGTTGCAACCCTGGAGGCGCAGCAAGATTGTCCAGAGAGAACACAAACGGGAGCTGAAGAGGTTCCTGGACTTCTTACAGAAGACCTGCCAAGGCCAGGGAGGAAAAACAGAAACGCAGGGAAGAATTTCGGAAAGGGAGGCTGAGGACAAATAAGGAGAGGGCCCTTGAGGAGGGCCAATGGATTGGTGCGGGGGCAAGACAGGCCCCCCCCCTTGCGAGCACGTGGAGGCTGGTGCGGAGCTTGAAGCCAATGAGGCCACGCGAGAGGCATTTGCCGAAAGCACGCCAGGCGGGAAGGATACAATGTTCAGGAAGACTCGGATGTTAATCAAATAGTGCATAATGTTGTGGAAGGAAATAAGAACGATGTGCCCTTATTTTACCTGAGAAAGAGCAACAGGCCCTTTGCGTGACTTGCACAAGGTCGGGTCAGGAGCCGGTCCTTGGCGTCCAGACTGCCAGAAGCAGCAGAGAGAGAGCGGCAGGACGCGCCCAAGGGGGGTCCTTCCCTGAAGCCCCGGAGAGCAGGAATGGCCTCCTCCTCACCCCGGAAGAACTTCTGCTGACATGCGGCAAGAGCAAAGAGCCCATCTGGAGACCTCGGTCACTGGGGCGGCCGCCTCAGGTGCCACTTCCGTAGGAAGGAAGCGAGCTGCATTTCTCTCACCGTGCATGAACCCCCGCGGAGAAGGCAGCTGCTGCTCCCCTTCCTGGGCCCACTGCTCCGCCGCCGCTTTCCGAGGGGCTGGGCCAATTCTTTCCAAGCTGGCCCCCCCACCCCTTTGGAGCTCCTGGGAGGCCCTCAAAGAGGCAGAACCAAGGTGGGGGGGGAGGGCTCCTCAGCAGCACCGTCGGCGCCTCTCCCTGGTCCAGCAGCGTGCAAGGGGAGGGGTGGGCTCCCACGGGAGGAACGGGCTCCCCCGGGAGGTCGTGGAGGCCCCATCGGTGCAAGGATAGGCTGGACGTCCACCAGGTGGGCATGTCGTGAGCGGAGCCGGCTGGAGCCGGGGGTCAGACTAGATGGCCCGGGAGACCCCTTCTGGCTCGCTCTGTTTCTATGTTTCTATGTGTGCAGGTGCTGAGGAAGCACAAAAGATCCCGGAGATTTGGGCTAGGCCCCTGCGAGGGTGGGCCATGCCAGATGCCCATCGTCCCCCACAAATAGGGGACTGAGGATGGGCTTCCCTCAGGCCTGGGCGGCCTCTGCTCCCCATCTTCCACAGCTCTATGCATCAAGCAGCCTCAACTGTGTCGCATAAGCCTCTGCAGAATTCTCCCTTAATGGACAACCTCCCAGGTGGGCCTTTCTCTGGAGGCAGGAAGGATGGCTGGGTTCAGACATGGCAAGACATGGTGGCTTTTTTAGTGTTGTCTGAACCCAGTCATGGTATTTCACCATGGTAAGTTCAGTCTTTATAAACCCTGATCAGAAACAAGGGTCTGCTCTACCACTTCTCTGAACCACCACGGTTTGCCATGCTCTCTGAATCCAGGGTCATGGCCATCCAATCTCTGTGAGTGGACCAATGAGGAAGAGGCAGGGAGCAATGCACGCTGGGAATGAGGTTCAGACACAGCGGCTGATGGGGTGCATGCCAAGGGTGGGAGCAGGGAGGATGGAAACCATGACAACGTGGCTGTCCTTGCCAAGCTCAAGCAACCGAGGTTCCTTTCGGATGCCAGGATGCCACCCGAGGGCGTGGAATGGGCTTCCACGGGAGGTGGCTGGGGCCCCATCGGGAGGGCATTCAAAAATAGGCTGGAAAGGCACATGGTGGGCATGTCGTGAGCAGGGTCGGCTGGAGCCAGGGATCAGACTAGATGGCCCAGGTGGCCCGAATCCGGCGAATGCCCAAGCGGGGAGCAGACTTTCCCGCCCACATGTTCCACGTGCGGAAGAGGGCATCCTGTCATGTCTAAGCAGCAGCAGCTTGGACCACCACGTTTGGGAAAGTGCAGCCACCGGTGGGGGCCGCATTCTGGTGAGAACATTCTGCTCAGCATTAGCAGGGTGGAGCTGGAAGGGGCCAGGCAGGCCATCGAGTCCCACCCCCTGCTGGCGCAGGACTCCACGCCACACTGCCCCCCTCGGAGGGCTGCCCGGCCTTGCCTCGAATGCCTCCAGTGCAGGAGAGCCCCCCCCCCCCGCCCCCAGGCGGCCGGTCCTGGTGCCGCGCTGCTCTGGCCGCGAGGACGCGCTTCCCAATGTCCGGCCTGGACCTGGGCTGGCGCCGCTTGAACGGACCGTTGCGTGTCCTGCGCCGGGGCAGCAGCCGGAGGAGATCTCGGCCCGCCTCTTCTGACAGCCTTTGAGGCGCTTATACAGGGATCCCAGGTCCCCCCTCAGTCTTCTCTTCTCAAGGCAACTGTGCCATTCTGTTCATTTTGGCTTATAATCCACCAAGACATAGAAGCAGGGCGAGTCAGAAGGGGTCTCCCGGGCCATCTAGTCTGACCCCGGCTCCAGCCGGCTCCGCTCACAACTCGCCCAGCCTGTGCGTGTCCAGCCTCGGAGGGGTTCGTGGGCGTGTGTGGGTGTACCGGGAGGCTGGGAAAGCCACCACATGAAGGCATCCCCCCGACAGGCTGTCCTGTGAAGAGGTGGGGGGGTGGAGACCCCCCCCTCCGAAGCCCCTGAGGAGGGCGCCCCGGTAGCCATGTGCCCACTGGTGCCCTGAGCTTGGGGCTCTGGCCAGAGCGCTCAGCCATGGGGTCCGAGGCACAGCAGCCGAGGCGGGACCCCCAGCTCGGCATCGAGGCGAAGCCGGGAGAGCGCCAGAGTCAGCCTGACTCTGACACGGGGGTCTGTGCCCCCCACCGGCAATGCCCCCTCCCCCCACCCCAGCGATGCACCTTTGGGCTGAGTCGACATCAGAGAATAAGAAGGACGTTTTATTGGAAGGCAAGGCAAGCGTGAAAATGGTGCGGACGCAGCGCCGGCTCACTTTGGTTTCCACTGATCCCACAAACGCTTGGCAAATTTCCCTGCAGTGCGCAGCCAGCCTTCATTCCCGGCTTTCTTCTGCGCCGCCTCCAGCAGCCGGATCCTCCCCTCGAACCCGGGCTTCTTGTCTGCTCGTTGCTCCTTGATGAGCAGGTCGACGTATTGGGGCATGGACAGCGGGT